GTATTTAGCGTACAGTAAGGCGCAAGGGAGATAAAAGAAATGGGCTCGTCCGAGCTTTTGCGCGTATTAGCTGCCGCCTATCTGGGTGATGGAGCGGGACTCCTCTGTTGAGCTTCTCCTTGACTGCGGGAGCGATCCGCCAACTCAGTATCCAACTGAAGGGCACCTCTTTGATTTTCTATGATTTTCGGAGGGTTTATCAACCAATTTCAGATGAGCCTTTTCTTCATTAATTAATATGCACCCATAAACAACAAAAAATAAATTTAAAAAAACGAGAAGGAACGTGTGAGTCGCTTCTTTGGACGCGACTTTACTTTTATACTAGTATACAGTCGGTATATAAATTTGTGAGCTTATGATGATGATGTTCCAATACCATAGGTCTAATAGGATGGGTTTCAGCAATATGATGGGCTTCTGCTTTCAATAATAAAGACGACTGCTCTGCTTTTCGTTCAAAGAATTACTGAAGTTTTTATTTCATCTTTTCCCTACTTATAGGGCTGAAAGCTTAGTATATAATGTACATAAAGTGTACAAACTGTTTCGACACCGGAGACTGCTGGCTCAGCTCCTCGCCGGATGTTGATTCGAATGTGTTTACATTCGAATCTCTGCTGTTGTGGCGGAATGTGCTGTCGCGGACGATCTCCGGGTTGAACGACATCGGTTGAACAATACCTTAAACGACGCCAAATTAACGCACCTATACACAAAAAAATAGAGGACACAAGATATAATTTTTTTTCGACTTTTCCTGAGTTTTTAAAGTCAAAATTTCGTAAAAAATACCGCACAAAAATCATAATTTTTGCATTTCAATGCTTTATATTTCCCAGACGGTAAGCTGTAATCACAAAGTGTTTGGGCTTAACTTCTAGCTGTTTTAATTACCTTTTCAAAATAGCAAAGTTCTTTACAACCAGACGTAAGATACTAAAGTTATGTGAAAAAAACTATCGCTACCTCTGAAAAAAGCTTAAAAAAAAAATACCAGTTTTCAAAAATTTTTCAAAAAAAAGTTCTGCCATAGAAAAAAAAAAAATATCATCAAACCATTTCTAAGCCCCAAATCTTTAATAAAAAGTTGGTTTTGTTCCTTGAGGAAAAATCGTGTTGACTAGTGTAATTGATCAAAAAACAAACTCAACGAAATTTTAATTTTGACCTATACTTTTTTTTGTATTAATATAAAGTTTTTATAAAAACATTTTATAATATTTTGAAATAAAAAAAAATTCTTTTTTTTTTAACTTATTTTTAAAAGTTTTTAAGATAAAAAATAAAACTTTAAAATTTATTTAAATACTCCGCGGATTTATATTCCAAAATACAAAAATATTTTTAAAAATGTTACTCATTTATTTTTTGAGTTATTAATTATTGCCTGCCAGATTGGCAGAATCGACCACTGTGCGAAGCGATGGAATTAGGCGTTGTCGCCCTCAAACTTTAATTATCCATTCTCACCAATTCAACGCCTCTTCCCAAAATTCAACTTCACCTTCTGGACTTTTTCACTACCAATTTGCACTTTACTCGTACATATGTATGTATACGCGTATTATAAAATTATATCCGACACTTTGGTTCGCGCATATAGAGCGCCTCCTTAGTTTGCACAATGTGGTGCGCGACGACCACAAGTTTGACCTGGTGTCAATACAACTGGAGGAAGATGCAGCCCGTGCAATCGAAGATCTCATTACTCGGCCACCTACTGATAACAAGTACGATGCAATGAAGCGTCGGCTGCTCGAAACTTTCGGCGAATCAGAAGATTCGAAAATGAGACGACTCCTCCGGGGTGGCGACATGACTGGGAAGAAGCCGTCGGAGATCTTGACTCACTTGCGTCGTTTAGCACCTGCTAGTGGATGCGAAGCTGTAATACGAAACCTTTTCTTCACTGAGTTGCCTTCGTCGATTCGTCCACTCATTTCGGTTTGGGAGGAGAATGACCTGGACAAGCTGGCAAAGATTGCCAAGATGCTCGAAAATAGCGCTATCGACTCCATAGGTGTTATGTCGACTCAACCCAAGCCCGCTGAGCAAAGGCAGCACAGCGTGGAGGCGGTAAGTAGCAACAATCAAAATTTAAAAGACGTTGCTGCTGCTCTGCATATTCTAACGCAGAAGGTGGATAAGCTACAACACGACATGCACGCCGCCAAGAAGCCCAAGGTTTCTCAGCCAGTAAATGGCACGAGCGCAGACAATGACGTCAACAATGCAACCCTTTGCTACTACCACATCACGTTCGGTGATCGCGCATGCAAGTGCCGCCCAGATTGCCGATTTTGTCAACAGTTAAACTTAAGCTGCTACCGCTAACTCAGCTGGTTGGCGGTAGTATCTCAACGACCAGCGACAAGTCATCCAGGAATCAGGATCACCGACTGCACATCCAAGATCAAAACACTAGTCGGACCTTTCTCATCGATTCCGGATCGGTGGTGTTAGTTATTCGCTGCGCCATGGCTCAACGCAAACTTAGCGAAAGTAAACAGGAATGGTATGCCGCGAACCAGACTATTATACGAACCTTTGGACATCAGGACCTGGAACTCGACCTGGGCCTGGATCGTTCCTTCAAATGGTCATTTGTCGTCGCTGATGTACAATCGGCAATAATTGGCGCTGACTTCCTAGCACAGTTCCAGTTGCTCTTTGACATCAAGAAACAACGTCTTACCAAAGACAATATAAGTATAAGATGCGTAACGCCATACGAAATTTCTGCACACGAATTTTTGAGGCTGGCTCTAGAGCTGGCTCCAGGCTCTCTTGAAATTTTTTAGAGAGAGAGAGCGCTCTAGAGCCAGCCGCTCTCTTGTATGCATACAGCATACGAAGGCACACGAAGTTGGTTCTTTGCCGTTGCGACAGCCGAGCCGAGTCGTCGCGACGACTGCATGTGTGCACATGCATACGTTTTTTACAGCGCTGTCGAAATATACCCTTCACTTTATAAGTGTAAGTTAATTTTGCAAGACGCTTACCACCCCAATATTAAAAAACTGTTATATTGTATATGTATATCCCTCCAACGATAATTTATTTTAAGATGGTATATTCGATAATGATGATCGGATATTCATATATAAAAATACATAATATATTTAATACATGAAATTCCATGAATCACATTGGAATAATTGCCATTAGGGTATTCAGGATGCGACGTATTCAACGCCGGTATATAATTTCGTTTCTCAACTCATAAAAAGGTTTCCGTCTCGAAAATCGTCCGCTTAGCACAAGTACGCACACATACGCACTTGCTGTTCTGTGTGTACTCACACATGCAAGCGGATTCTATTTTTAGATTCGTACGCTCTCAAATTTGTGCGAGCGAGATGGCGCGAATTTCGTCGCTGGCAGAAAAATTGTCTTGCATATGGCAATTGAAATGTATGAGCGTTACGCATCTTATACTTATATTGTCTTTGGTCTTACCAACAACAAGCATATCCGTAATCTCGCAGGATTTTGCTTCGCCAAATAACGATAAAACGGAGCAAGGCGAGCACCTACACATCGACAACATGAACTCATCCGATTCACCTTCAGTTCGCCACTACATAACAACAACTGGAGCACCCGTAGCAGATCGGAGAGACTCTATCTGTGGCTAAAGCACAGATACATCAACTTATCGACAACAAAATCTGCAGATACTCCAAAAGTCCATGGGCCAGCTCGTTGAACATGGTAGCAAAAAGCAGTGGTGGATGGCGGGCTTGCGGCGACTATCGCAAGCTTAATGCCATCACCGTTCCAGATCGTTACCCGATTCCCCCCATTCACGATTTTGCCGACCGACTATATGGAAAAAGCGTTTTCACTACACTAGACCTCGAACGAGCATACTATCAAATACCGATGGCCCCAGAGGACAGAGATGGCAGCTCCAGCAACGGACTCTCAACAAGTTAGCAGCTTCAGCAACTACGACGACATGCGACAAGACATTGTAATCAAAGATTACGAAATAAAGAGTTATAGTAAACGACCGATAGAGCGTACATTGGCCAAGTCGCCAAAACTCTAGATGCTGCTACATGCTTTACATGTTCATAGTATGTACTACATATGAATGTGTGTATTGTTTATATGATTTCCTTGTCCTCCATGCATTTTGGGCTCCTGCATTAAAATAAGTTCCCTAGCTATAATAGTCTCTATATCAACACGCGGCTTTTGATTGCAGATCAAGGATGTATTTACCGATATTTTATGAGTTCAGACACGCTTTCTTCTGTCTGCTAAATATATTTACACGAATTTAATATGCCCTATATTCTTTGAGTAGTTCTTTCCAGTCGTACTTTGTATAACCGACTCCACCAAAAAAGATTAAATTACACCCGATCGTTCGTTTATTTCCCGAATTGTTTTTATAATTATGCATTATAATTTAAGCGAGAAAAAAATGTATCAAAAAACGTTTGCATCCGATTGCATTCATCAGAACTTCTTGTATAGGGTATCAATACAACAAATGCAGTTCCTAAGTATTAGGTCTGTTATACGTAAAATCAAGTTTTGATGCACTAAGTACTAAGTTATAAGCATTCAACACCTGCGAACTATACTGATCAAGAATACGTACATATGTATGTACAGGTACATACTTATGAGTGTATGTATGTTTATATTTTTGCTTATTATCTAAATTAAGATCTGGTGTAAAAATTAGCATATTCCCAAACAAATTCCATTGTGATTGACTCAGACTTAATAGTTTGCCAGAACGTTCCGCTTGGGTAGAAATTGCATCTAGGTAAGTATCGTTTTGAGCTTTGAATATGGTGACGATCCTTAATGTTGTGGAGTGCGATTTATTATATACTGTATAGAGAGAGGGGAATGCATGGTCGCAGTGCTGTTGCCTTCAAGCTGTCGCAGCGATAGTACGCTAGTGCCTCACTGGTAGATAAATATTTTAGCAGTTTTACTAAGAAGCGCGAACACCGCGGACCTATCGGCTCCGAATATTTGTATTTATTTTTTTGTCACGGAATTACTGTTGATAAGGGCGAGGCGAGGGCATGTTAAACACTAAATACCAACTAATTCCGACTGACGAGCATTTGCCCAAGGAGAAGAGCTCTGCAACATGGATAGTGAAGTTAGCCCTAATATTTGTGGGGCTCTTTACTCTTGCTTTCTACACTTGGAGTCCCGTATTAGTTCAACCAGAGCCCTGTACGTTCACTACTCCAAGAGCGAATGAGGCGTTAGCAAAGTGGGAAGCGAATTGTACAACCTCTGTCTTTGAACAGTCTACCACCGAAAACGAACACTCAACCACGACCAATGAACAGTCAACCACGAACTTAGTCTTGGGACAGCAATTGACAGCAAGGACCACCAAAGCATCAAAGTCCGAGGAAAAAAACAATAGATTCTTTGTGAATACGCCTCAGTGTCAAATGCCCTATCCAAACCCCTTCTCCAGAAATATTTTAAATGTGTACCACAGGAAACGCTATGTAGTGTGTGATAAGAGACCGGACATGCTGAAAGTCAACTACAATGAAAAAGATCGGACCTACGAACTGCACATGAACAATGCCAATTTAACATGTTGCTACAAGCAGATCTTGAGAGCAGGAGTTCGGACAGAAGCTGACTCTCAGTACAAGTAAGTGCTAAAGGTATACTCAGAATTATGCATCCAAAGAAGGCAAACATAGATCATTATTTGTGCAGGCTGCTTCCATGCGTTACGTTCCCCCAGGATTTTGTGGTACCCAACCACGTGGAGGCAGTGATCACTGAATGTCGTCGGCCAAACAGTTCAAAAGTCCTGCAAGAGGATGGTTTTAGTTTTGTGCATCCACGAAAGCCAGACCCAGACCCCACGCCTTCATCGCCTGCTGATGGAGGTGCGGAGAGAAGGCCCAGCGTCCTGCTCTGGGGCATAGACTCGCTTTCACGCATGAACTTTGAGCTAACCATGCCATTGACGTTCAAGTATTTCCGGAAACAGCCGTGGTACGAGCTGCAGGGTTATAACAAGGTTGTTAAGCGTTGTATATCATGCTCGTAGATTCGTTCATTAATGGATGGCTTCTGTTTCTGCAGATGGGCGACAATACCTTTCCCAATCTGATGGCCGTCCTCACGGGGTTCAACCAAACCCGATCATATTCTAAGTGCCGACCAACCGCAGTGGGTGGGCTGGATGCCTGTCCCATGATCTGGAAGAGCTTCAGGGCGAAAGGCTACGCGACCGCCTATGCCGAGGACTGGAGTAGTATATCGACATTCGATTATCTGAAGATGGGTTTTCGCACGCCTCCCACGGATGTGTATGGACGCCCGATGATCCTGGCCCTGGAGAAGGAACTAACGAAGAGGGTTATAAAGAACGTACCATACTGCTTGGGCCGAAGGTCTGCCGCTGAGTACATCTACGACATGGCCGAGCAGTTTACAGAGGTTCACAAGGATCGTAAGTTCTTTGGCATGTTTTGGACCAACTCTTTCAGCCACAACGACTTTTCCATGCCCTCCGCCATGGATGCCAGAATGGTCAAGTATATGCGCACACTCGACCACAACGGGATCATGAACAACACCATTGTCATCTTCTTCAGCGATCATGGCAGTCGATTCGGGGTGCTGCGCAAGTTAGACAGCGGTTTTCTAGAGGAGCGGCTGCCGGTTATTTACATGCGTATCCCCAAATGGATCCGAGACAAGTATCCGGAGTTCTTGCACAGCTTGAAGGCAAACAAGAACCGGCTGACTTCGCCCTACGACATTCATGCCACACTCAAGCACATCTTGGAACTGGACACACCCGCGGAACAGTTGCCACGACCCGAGGGGTGTCCCACCTGTCACAGCGTCTTCGAGGCGGTGTCCTTGTCCAGAAACTGTTCCCTCGCAGGCATCGACGACCATTGGTGCGGTTGTGTCGGCTTCACGGTTCCCGCTACAGATCCAATGGCCAGGACGATAGCTGAGCAGATAGTGGAGGCCATAAACAAATTTCTGACTGGCCTGAAAGGCACGCAAAAGTGTCAAACTCTGAAACTTGCCAAAATATCGTCCCTTCACAGGAAAGGTAATTCAAATACCTATCTGGTAGGGCTATCCATTTCCCCCGGCGATGGTTTCCTCGAGGCCTCTGCCCAGTGGAACCCCAAGACCGAAACAATCTCCACTACGGTAAGCAGCATTAGTCGGCTGGACTCCTATGCGACACAGTCGCAGTGCGTTCGTGCGGAGGAAGCAAAGAAGTTTTGTGTCTGCAAAAAATAATCGGGTTCGATCAGCACCGGGCAACCGCAGGAGCACAGCACAAAAGGAACCACAGTTCTGTATCTGTTCGGCATCTCGTGGCCATTGTTCCGGTCTCTCAGGGCAGAGCTGCCTCTGTCTATCGTTAGAGACGATCTCCTGGTGAATGGTTTGGTATCTGCCAACTGTTTCCGCAACTAATTTCGGTATCGTGATTGTGCAAAGAGCAAATTAGTTGACAATTACATGACAATTGGCTTGGATACTCTCGGATAATTGTCACTTGACAATTACCATGATCAGATTGTTCGGGGGATGCGCAAACTAATTAATTCTAATCGTATATCTATGTACATACTTAAATTGTATTACTTATGTTAACTAGTGTTAGTCCTAACTTTAGCCAGAGAACCCACAAAATCTATCTGATCACTTCATTGATCTAATCAGTCATAGCTAGACAACACAACGATTCAGATATTCTGATAAAAGTTCTTTGTATAATTGGTTGCTTTTATTTATGTGTACTTATAATCTAGAATATATTAATGACAATGGTATAACCCAAATGATTTATAGACATTTTGTAAGACGTGTGAATGCACTTTAGTTATAGTACGAATAAATGATTATCTGGACTTTAGGAATCTCTCCGGAGGACAAAACTATTGAATTTTTGCCACTTATCGTAGTAAATATAACTATGTGTAAGTTGAGCCTGTAAGCTATTGTAGTCTTTCGAACTAAACAATAAATCGATCGGTAAAAAGAACCCATAAGAGACATTTTAACATTTAATCAGACCACTATCTAACAAACATAGAAAGTAGGAAGCATCTTCCTAGTGTAGCTTCCCATATGCTAACTATCCAATGGTAATCTGAAATTAATATTGTAAGTGATACTTTCGGAGCCCTCGGGCCGCAAAACTCGTTTCGCGATTGCAACTGTTGTGAAAACAAATTTACGAGTCAATCAAAACATACACGCATCAGAATATATCAGGCTCAACTTGTTTTCCCATCGACAAGGGAATGGATGTCGATGGGATGGAAAGACAAGAAAACATGGCAGCCGGATGAGTTGATTAAGGCCAGGGTGAATGTTCTTCCCTGCGATAAGCACCACCCAAATCAAACCTCAAATGATAACCACAAAAAAATAAAAATTAAACTTGACAACCGAAGCATGGATACTCTATATATAAAAGGGGTTAGCTAAAGAGTGAGGAACGTGCATCATGTATCAGTGTAATCACGGATTCCTGGCAATTATTCATACTACGAGTATATATGATAAACATATGTTTTTTTAATGGGTATTTTAGATTTGTGATAAAAGTGGATGTGTGTAACGCAGAGAAGGAAACGTTTCTTGAACGTCCATCTGTCCGTCCGTCCGTCCCGATGAGCGCCTAGTTCTCAGAGACTATAAGAGCTAGAGTAACCAAATTTTATTTTCAGACTCATATGATATCATACTGCTACAAGAGTATTTCAAAATTTACAATTTCTTAAAATTCTACATAAATCATAAGCTAAAAAATGTATATACTGACTGAGTACGGGTATAAAAGTAGAGTCGCGTCCACAGAAGCGCCTTAAACGGTTTTTCTCGTTGACATAGGTATTAGGCGTTTTTTTTTAACAGCTCATCAAGGGATATTTATGAAGGGATACTGAGAGTATTAGTTTGCTAGCCAAATAATAATGTTTTCCTGTATGGATAAAACTTGTGTTGCAGCCGAAATACTGTACCCTTTGGTTAGGGTATAAATATATTAACAATGAACAGAAGCTGAAACACAATTTAATTTGTTCAAACATTTGATAGGGCCTAACTCGCTGATAAGGGTAATAATAATTATAATCGGTGGCAAGGCCACTGGGTTGCTACCTGGATTGCGGAAGAGGATGACGAGAACGAGGGCAACGCCTATTAAACGCCTCGTTGCTTTCAAATGAGATTGGTATTGGCCTGACTCGTCCTGGCGCGTCCATGGCAGTGGCCTCACGGTAGAGGGAGACAGCCATAGTGCTGTTTGTACCGGGGAAGTGTCTGTTCGGCAAATGGCGGCGATGCCTGGGAGTGGGCTGTCCTTAAATAGCGCTAGGATGCGCACCTAACTCAACAGTAGCAATTCGACCAGCCGAGCAGCAGGATCGCCAGGATGAGTGAATTTAGCATCGATTACATATTGAACCGCGCCGGCGACAGATACATCGGCACCAATGCCTCAGTCGGAGTCCTGCAACGACTCCGCGCCAGCATTCCCTTTCATCCGTACGCCCATCCCGGACACAAGGAGCAGCGCGCCTCGCCCCCAGCTGTAGTAGCTCTGGAGGAGGGACAGCTCCCCATGTACGACTGGTTGCAGTACACCCGCTACCATCCACCCAAGCTGCCACGTGCCCTGCGGCAGAGTGGACCCGCCAAACGCACGCCCGGACGCCTGCCCCGGATCCCCTTCACTCCCGCCCAGCTCCAGGCACTGGAGACGGCTTACAAGGAGTCGAACTATCTGAGCGCAGAGGATGCCAACAAGCTGGCAGAGTCCCTGGAGCTGACCAACACCCGCGTGAAGATCTGGTTCCAGAATCGACGCGCCCGAGAACGACGCGAAAAACGCGACAAGGATGAGAGCTGCGACTCCACCTTCTCCTCGAATGCCTCCAGTCCGGAACCGGATATGATTGTCATTGTTTGACGGCAGACATGAGATATGATGGAGCTGGAGTTGGATCCCATAGCTCACATTTTGGCTGTTAATGGTGTACCTTGTGATGGGTTCCCATACTTGGGAACGAATGCACTCATTTTTTTAATTGAAACTCTTTGTTGTACAAATAAATCTAAGTACGATTAGATATTCATTTAAGCATAGACAATAACTATTTATAATTTAGAAATAAATTAAATAACATTCAAATTACTTTTTCGAGAGTTTTTTCACTTTCCAATTTGATATCGCAGTAGCGGGAAGTACTGGGCACTAAAACAAAGAGGGATATATGATATGGGCAATATGCAAAACTTTTGTATTTGTATTTTCCATCCTAGCATATAAATACTTATAAATTAAGGCACTAGTCACAACAATTCTAATAGTTATTAACATTTACAAATTCATATATTATACATTATATTTTACATTCTACTTATACAATATTTTTTCTTCCGTCTATAAGTTCCTGTCTAAAATATTCTATAACCAGCTGTTCCTGGAGAGCTATTTCAAATATGTAGCTATCAGATGCTGATAATCAGAAGAACGATCGATCTGCAAGGATATCTGAAGTGTCGTTTTTCGGAAGTTAAGCTTTGTGATTAAATATAAATAAATAAATTTTTAAGCAAAAAAAATGAATGAAACTAGAAAAAAATTCATATTTTTCATTGAACTAAATCTATTAATAGAATCTTTCATTTACCATCTATTCTAGAAGCCTGCAACATGTTAATGTATTAAAAAAGTGATTACATTGGACTCATTTTGATTAAATATAAAGCTTTACAGATATTTGGGATTTAAATATTTAATTTTGAGTGACATTTAAGCAATAATAAAAGATTTATCGTATTCTCAGCCCATGAGGTATACCAGAAACCGATCAAAATCGAAAGTTTGCACTTAGGATGTCTGCTTGTTGTCCCATAATAATCTCTAACTTTAATTTTTAAATTTGTATCTGCATAGGAAATTCAGTCAATTATATATGTACAGTTCTCCCCACATGTGAACCTTCATCTCATATCAGTTTCACCTGATGCAAATCCAATTTGGATAAAGTAATTCAATATTTCATATCGGAAACTGGTTGACTTTGTTCATTTTGCTCCCATTACATCAAACAAGACCGCCCCACACGCAGATACTGGCAGAGTTGTGTGGCCAAAAATCGAACCCATATGGGAAAATATTTGGAAATTTTGAATGAAAATAAGGAAGTTCGCGTGCCGGAAAAACAGCAAACGCTGAGATGGAGTCGTGAATGGGAATGGAGGAGGGGAGGGCTGGCTAAGCCGATTTCGTAATTGTTGCTGTTGTTTTCTATGGTCAAGAATAATTTGTTTTTCCGCAACCTTTGTTTGCAAACATACAAAAATATCAGATTACAAAGCGGCAGTTCCTCCGGAGAAGAAGAGGAACCCATTTTCCGTTTGGTGAGTGGGGGGATACACTTTTCCAAGTGTATGCTGAATTTTACATATTTTTGCCACAAGGTCTGGCAAATGAGTTTACGCAAATCCCAAAGATGTCTGCACCTAATCCCCATCTAATCCGATCATATGAGTACGAAAGGGCCAAAGGATCTCGACCGAAGTGGACAACAGGAAGAGCGGATCGCATGCGCCATTTACTTATCGCAAATGAGCATCGAAAGGTGATCTGCACAAAGGGTTGGCCATTGGCCACTGAAATTGAGAATATCAAATGTCGCATACGATCAATCGAAGCCACATGTCCACATATTTATCAGAGAGCAGACCGCATTCTTTTTTAAACTTTCCACATCAGACCACAGCTAACTGGCAATGGCCTGTCAGAGACGGAGCACTCGAAGGATCTGCTTGAACAATTTAAGCCACACTCATTAGTTGCAGATAATTCGAGTAAATTTGTGAAATCGGCTTATGATTTGCATTCAATGAAGGAATGTTTATGTTACTAATCTAGTCCTGTTTGACAAACAATGCGGCAATATTTATTCTAATGGCGTAGAATAACACAGCAAATGTACCCCCGGCGGGACCTTGTCCCATTCTTCGGACCGGACAAAGGCCAGGCGCAGGCGCATGCGCAAATACGCGTAGAATGGAAAAACTGGGTCAAGACGGGCGCGGGAGGGACTAAACGGCCTAAGATTAAGGTAATTCCCATTTTTACGTGTGTAGATTGAGGTAAGCGCGGTCAGCCTGCTTAGCAGGGCGTCAGACAGACTGCCCTTTTTTGATCTTTTGTGTAATTTATAGATCCAAAAGAAATACTCTCCAAATACAGATGGAAATAAAAATGCGTCTCTGCTTTTCGAATTTTAATTTTTGCTAGCACACTTTAGCATACTTGCGGCCAACCACTAACCATAAAACGAATACGTTCATACATATAGTAAGTATCAAACTGTTCCAGCGCTTTTCAATTTGTGCGGGAACACGTAATATCATGCATATGCGCTGTTACCAATTTATAATTTGTGGCATTTCTATTTCATATTCGTCCTCTGAGATCAAATGCTCTTTATTTTCGAATTTTAGAGTATTATGACACATTTGTGAGGCACAATATCAGAATAACTGTTATTTTTTAACATATCATCTAACGCTTATATACTTTTAATACAGAATAAAAAATGGATATACATATGTAAATATAATTATCTATTAGGGTATTCGAGGTGCTACTTGTAACGTCGTTCGTTCTTGCATTCCCTCAAATATCGAGAAATAATTTGAAATTCAAAAAGCCAGTCGGACAATAAAGACTGGACAGACCAGCATTTAATTTTATGTATTTATATCATACATATATCCAGTCAATGATTATTAAATGTTATGGCAATTGTTAAATTTAAACGGCCCCATAAAAAATGTCAGTTTTTCAACCAAAAAACAAAAATTTGATGCATCTTACACTAAAATTGTATGGTGGCTCTATGGGTAATTAAATTAATAAACATTTGGTAAATTCTTCGCAACATTTCGAAAAGTTGCTCAACATTTTTGAATATTTACATCTTATACTTTACACTAAATGAATCTTATACACTTTAGTTTCTGTGAACTTTTTGCCAGTTCTAGCTCCGTTGCGTTCGGTTTGTCAACAAACTAGAAAATAATGTTTAAAAAATCCGAAAAAAGGAGTACTTAAAACTGCCTAATCTTGTAGAAAATTGATTCATCAATCATCAGTACCAGAAATGAGCGATGAGTCCACTAGTACATGACGTCTAGACCTTAGTCTCTTTCGTTTCTGCGCGTGGCATAACATAATTCGGTTCTGCCGTCGACGTCGTTATTACAATTGTGCGGTGAAAAGTGAGATGCTGCTCTTGTTTATTTTGGGCAAAATATATAATATACTAAGGGGCAAGCCCCCTGCGCACTCGCTTTGCTCGTTTGCCAACCCCAAGCTCACTGACCCGGCAAACTATTTGTCGCAGTCAACATTTGCCTTCGAAGTCAAATTACCGGTGATCGTCAAAGTTTTAGTCGTAGCCTGGCAAATCTAGTGAGTTCAAGAACTCTGTTTGATATTTTACGGCTTCGTTCTCATCGCAAATTGTATCGACCGATTTGTATGATACCAACAACTGCTCTGTCTTGAAGTTTCAATCGTCGACGGGCACATTTTTTGCTGCCAACTGTTCTTTCTGCCAGCCATGCATGATTTAAGTATGGGAATACATCTGGGAATACACGTTCAATGAGAGCATTTTGCGAATCAACAATTGTTCAAAAATCGATTGGCTATTTTATACATCCAGTATTTTCATTGATAGCAACTTCACCTATATCTGATGAGTGTTTTGATAATGTTTCAGTAAATTATCGGATATTGGAGAGCGTCGTATGAGCGGTGTGAACTCCAGATTATTTTTTATACCCGTACTCAAAAAAGAGTTAAGGGGTATATTAGATTTGTGGTAAAAGTGGATGTGTGTAACGCAGAGAAGGAAACGTTTCCGACCCCATAAAGTATATATATTCTTGATCAGCATCAATAGCCGAGTCGATATAGCCATGTCTGTCTGTCCGTCTGTCCGTCTCGATGAGCGCCTAGATCTCAGAGACTATAAGAGCTAGAGAAATCAAATTTGGTTTCCAGACTTATGTGATATCACACTGCTACAAGTGTATTTCAGAATTTGGCCCGGCCCCTTCCGCCCCTGCAAAGGACGAAAATCTGTGGCAGGCACAATTTTAAAGATACGATAAAACTGAAAACGCAGTATCGTAGAGAATGCCCATATCTACCAGATTGCCGAATCTGAATCAGATCGAATCATAATTGTAGCCAGAATGAAGAAATTCATTTTCAGTTGCTTCATCCGTCTCCCCCTGAATGAAACACTCTACTGATTCTCTTTCTCGCTCGCACACTCTGCCTCGTTCAGTGCGCGAGCAACCCCTAGCGGAGGAGATATAGAATCTAAATGGAACATGTACAATCTACATGGAAGATGTAGAATATACATACAGCAAAAAAATGTAAAATGTAAAATTTTGTTTATACCCGTACTCAAAAAAGAGTTAAGGGGTATATTAGATTTGTGGTAAAAGTGGATGTGTGCAACGCAGAGAAGGAAACGTTTCCGACCCCATAAAGTATATATATTCTTGATCAGCATCAATAGCCGAGTCTATATAGCCATGTCCGTCTGTCCGTCCGTCTGTCCGTCTGTCCGTCCGTCCGTCTTGATGAGCGCCTGGATCTCAGAGACTATAAGAGCTAGAGAAACCAAATTTGGTTTCCAGACTCATGTGATATCACACTGCTACAAGTGTATTTCAAAATTTCGCCCCGCCCCCTTCCGCCCACACAAAGGACGAAAATCTGTGGCAGGCACAGTTTTAAAGATACGATAAAACTAAAAACGCAGTATCGTAGAAAATGCCCATATCTACCAGAGTGCCGAATCTGAATCAGATCGGATCATAATTATAGCCAGAATGAAGAAATTAATTTTCAGTTGCTTCCCCTCCCCCTCCCGCCAGCGACAACGCATCTCATTTTCCTTCTCGCTCGCACATTCTGCCGCGTTCAGTGCGCGAGCAACCGCTAGAATGTAGATGTAGAATCTAATTGGAACATGTAAAATCTACATGTTAGATGTAGAATATACATTGTATATGTAGATGTAGATATCATATGTAGCAAAAAAAATGTAAAATGTAAAATTTTTTTTTTTTTCTAAAATTCTAAAAAATCATATGCTCAAAAATGTATATACTGACTGGGTACGGGTATAAGTAGAGTCGCGTCCCCAGAAGCGACTCGCACGTTCCTTCGCGTTCATCTTTGAATCACAATTTCTCGAGGCGAGCGAGTGAGTGTCGGCGAAAGGGGCTTGTCCCCTAGTACACCTCTCTGTTAAATTAAATTCCATTTTCTCAATTTTTTCCTGAAATTCATCATTTATAAATCTATTACTTTTGTGAAATTCATTACTTATAATCTATCCATGACTTTTTCGTTAGCTTCAGCACTTGTAAATCGATGGCTGCTAGATGACAATGTCATTGCCGACGCCGCAGGACCTCTCCAGGTTAACATCGCCTATGCCATTGGGTGTAGTGACGCAGGTCGATGTGTCATCTGCAGATACATCAGAGTCGAAGACGTCTAGTAGCTGTCGCAGCCAATTCTTTTGGGACGTTTCGGTTGTGTGAAGGGATGCATCTATATACTATATGGTTAGTGTCTTAGACCACATACCCCACCATTAACAAACCTCTATATAAACAGTTGAACACCTTGAGTTAAACAGGGGGAAAAAATACTGTTTGTCATTTCTTCTTTTAGATAATACCTTCCTCTGTACTTACGAAAAAAAACCCATATCTGCGCTAATATTGTTCAAGTTTTATAATATTCATGAGAACATTTAAATACCAACTAGTTGACAATTGGTTAATGTCCATGATACATACATATGAATACATATTTATCGATTTCGATATTCGGTTTAATATTAATAGCTAGATGGGACCCTAAACATTGAGCATACTATCAGATTGATGATTAAATTTTCTACTAAACAGTGGAATCTCACAAATTCAATAGAAGCTGCCTTTTAAATGTATTGAACCCGTGCCTTTGCCTTTTCGGTTTGCTCCTTGAAGTAAAAATAAAACTGGGAATCACCGAGTTATTCGTAGTGTGTATAATTCGGTCATGGATGGATGTAGAAAATTAGAAAAGGTAGAAAAGTAGTAGTAGTCCAAAGAAGCGACTATCACGTTCCATCTCGTTATAACAAGGTTTTATCAAAAAATTTCAACCAAAATGTCATGGTAACTACATATGTGGTACATATGCATAAAATATATAGACAATTGCGTAATTATGTAATTATGTATCCCCAAACAAGTTAGTTAATAATTATACTCAATAAATACTAGAGATGAGCAATTAAAACAAAAACCGAACTGACAGGCTGGCAACTTATGTGTACAGTGTCAGTGTTGATAAACGCTGTCAGGAGTTGCCATATCACTGAATAAAGAATATAAATTGAAGCGGGTAGTTGTTTAAAAAAGTCGTTGAGCGTTTAATGCGAACGGTTATTTAAACAGATGTTCATGCAATTTGTTTTGTATGTACTTAAACTTATTATTTATCTCGATCCAAACAGCTGATTGCTCCATACATTTCTGTGCGCCTGCGCTACTTTTTCTTTGGCGCCCAGTCAAAAATACTGGCCATTTCATTCAATTGCATAACAATACGCAAAATAACGGTATCGTTATCGTATGCGTACGCTTCTCAGTCAGATATTGACGTGCTTGTACCAAGCGTCGTGTGCGCGGAGGATACTCGACTCGCCCCCACAGTCCACCCGGAGCAGCCTCGCCACGCCACGCTCCCTCCGTCGAGCTGCGAAAATCTCACTTATCAAAGATTCAGCAACAAATCGACATTTCTGAATGCCCACAATCCGAATGGCTAAATAATTGATTGAGCGTGCCCCCGCCAAGTAGCACGAGATGCCTCGCCTACGTCACAACAGCAACGTCAGCCGTAAAAGTAGCCAGAAAATCTCCGTCTCATAGCATCCCGAAAACGTGTTCACTCCTCCTCCTCCATCCTCCTCCATCCACCAAAAATCGTGCTTCTTCCGCAACGCTTCCGTAGTTAATCCAAATTTTCGCTGGCCAGGCAATCCTTTTTTGGGGCTAAGACAACGGCTAAGAGATTCGCATCCCATCGCATCGCTTCGCAGAAACGTGTACACGCGTCGTCCATTGGCAAAAGTGAGTAAAGTTTATCGATTTTTTCTGGCGCGGCGCGGCGCGTTGCTCTCTCTTCTCGTTTCCTTTCCTGTGGGAAGTCCGTGGGCCTAATCCAAAACTCGCGTGATTCACATGAAATATTCACACACACACAAACACACACATAGTTCCGAAACACACAGATACTCCCACACACACACACACACACACACACACACACATAGAAAGAGAGGAAAAGACGCAGGCAGGCCTTTTTTGGGTCACGAGAGGCAAGCTGTGTGTTGACATTGGTCCTGGTCTCGTTTTCACACACAGGCAAGGCACGTGCTTTTTTTTTTTTGGCATAACTTTTATAGACGTAACCATTTTCCGCCCGTGTCTTTCCCTTTATCTGTGCAACGTTTTTATTGCACTGCGCTCTAGTTTATAATTCATGACGTTCGTTGGCTTTCCCTTTCAGTTGATGTTGGCGCCACTTTAGAGAATCAATTTGAAGCGACAAGACACCACTACCGTCACACGTTCAACCGGAAATAGGCATGGACACTGCTGCTGCCGCCGCCGCCGCCGTTGTTGTTGACCTTAGCTCTGAGGGCAGCGGCAAATCAAAGCTCCTGAGCAGCCCCATCCCCAGCCCCGGCGGCACCGGGTCCAGCATCTCACATCCCAGCAGCACATTGAAGCCAAAGTCAGTATCAAGCTACGCCCTAGCCGTGGCACCTTCCGCACCTGGATGCAGTGATCAGGATCAGGTGGGCAGCACAGTAGAGTCCGTATCGGCTACGCCACCGCCAACGCCAGCGCCGGCTTCCAGCACAGGCCGCATCGGAACGCAACGGTATCCGGGCAACGATGGGATTGGAACTGGAACTGGAGCTGGGACTGGGACTGGGGCTGCTCCCGAGCCTCTCAATGCCGCGGATGCTTCCCCATTGCCTTTGAAAAGAGGCCTCCTGTGCAAGGAGGCAGTCGCAGTGTCGACCTCGGAGCATGGTCAATCTGGCCCAACATCAAAGTCTTCCGCTAAAGCTTCCACAACGCCAATGTCTGCCTTGCTTATACCAGTTGCAACTGCAACTGCAAGGGGAACCGTATCCACTGAACAACCACCAGCAGCAGCAGCAGCAGCAACGCCTGCCGAATCAGCTCCTGGAACTCCAGCAACAAGCACCACAACGACCACAAGTACAAGCCATGCTCCATCGGTGGGTGTGGGTGCCGCACCACCATCATCATCATCATCAGCGTCGTCACCGCTGAACAGCGTCTCCAATTCGCGTTCGCGGTCGCGTTCCAGTTCAAGTTCCGTACCGAGCGCGGATCCGCTGTTGCAGTGGCAGGATATGCCCCAGTATTTGCAGTTCAATCCGTATGTGCTCCGTGGCTACCGTCCCCTGCAAACCTTCAAGGGCTGCCTGCTGAGCCTATTCTACTGGCACAACGAGACCATCAACATACTGACACACGGTGAGTGCACAGAGAGAGCTAAAGCTACCGATACCGCCTCCTCCTCCAATCACCACTGCCCTGCCCTGCCCTGTCCTGCCCACCCACATGCCAAAATGTCACATCACACTTGTTTCTTTGCTCATTTATCGATCCGTCCGAATACCATTGCCTCTCCTCTGCTCTGCTCTGCTCTGCTCTCCTCTCTGGCATTGGAACTCGTAACAATCACGGTCAAAGCCAAGTGCAGGCGGGCCACATAAATAGATTAGCCCGCATTTCTAATGAACCTCGGTCTGGGGCGGGGGCTGTTGCTGGGGCTGGCCTGTGGCTGGTGTTACGTTGCGGTGTGCTTTGGTTTGGTTTGGTTTGGTTTTGCATAAGGAAACAAGCCAAAGAAAGAATGAACATGGAATGCAGCTCTGGCTGGAGTCACTTTAATGGTACAAAATGTAGGGATCAGATAATTCCACTATAATGTGGGGACTCCAAATATGTATTAGTAGAGCATACACTTCTCGCGTGGATTCATGGGGGAGGCGACGGGACAGTTGAACTCCTCGGAGAACTCATCAAAGTTCGACAGTGGTCCGATAACCCGAAACTTTCCGGGCACATGCTGGTCGGTGGATACCTGTATGCCCTTCACCCGCGGATGGGCATCATTGCACCAGACCTGGGCATAGCTGATGAAGAACAGCTGCTTGCTGTTGTAGTCCATGGTGGGTAGGGTCTCCCTGAGCAGTTCCTCGCCGCTGTTGGGCCTCGATTCCAGGGCGTCGTACCATTTGCGATAGGCGGTATAGGCGAGACGCACTCCCCCGTTGTCCGCTATATTCTCCGATTGCGAGATGGACTTCTTGAGGGGTATGCCGTCGTAGACATACCCACCGTACTGTTTCGTGAAGCATGTCTGGCGATCCAGAAAATTGTTGGCGGACGTCTGGTCCCACCAGTCGTGGAATTGGCCGCGAGCATCGAACTTGCGGCCAGAGTCGTCGAAGCCATGGATCAGCTCGTGACCAATGAGCACCGCCAGTGAGCCGAACATCACGGCACTGGGATAGGCGTTGGCCCACAGGTAGAAGGGCTGAAGCAGTGCCACCGGGATCTTGATGGCGTTCTCCACGAGAATGTTGGCCGGCGTATAGCTGAGCAGCTCTCCCGCCTCCAGCGGCTTGGCCGGCTGATGCAGCTCCGCGCGCATTTGCTTTACTCCTAGGAGACTGGCCTGTCGCATATTCTCCACATAGTCGGCGCTCTGCAGGTTCAGGCCTTCAAACTCTGCGGTGAAGTTATGGTCCGCATAGGAGTTAACCTGCATCGTCATCGCCTCGAGCTTGATGATTGCCTTCTCGCGGATGGGTCGGTCGATCCAGTCCAGCAACTGGCTGGAGCGCAGCGTCTCGTTGAAGGTGGACTTGAGTTGGCTCCACATGTGCTCTACTTCCCGGGCGGTCACTTCGTTCTTGTAGCTGCGATATATCATGTTGTCCAGGTTCTTGGCGAAGCTCTTCTTGGTGAGACCAATGCACATCTCTTTCTTGCCTTCCGCCGTCTTGGCCGCCGACACGGCAAAGTCCTTGATCATGCTGTAGAATATATAGTTGGCCACAACGCGCTTGGGCGTGCGCAGTATCACCTGGACAAGGTTCCGCTGATATTCCGAGTTGTACTCGTACACCTGGTCCGTGATCTTCTCGCCCATGCTGACCAGCACAAAGCGCTCAATGTCCAGAGTTGGCGCATAGCGTCTGTGCATCTCGGATACCGTCAGAAGTTCCGCCATGGAGGCAATGTCCATGCCATCGCTTTCATCGGCGAGGCCATGGGCCAGATCCACCTCAAAGTCCAGTAGCTCCTGGGCCGTCGCCTTGGCCAGTTTCTTCTCTACGCCCAGAAAGCGCTCCATTGTGCTCTGCATGCGGTCGCGCAGGGCAAGGCGATAGGTTAGGGTTCTGTTGTCCACATACATGCTGCGTGACTCGAGCGGGAATTCCTGATGGCCGACATACACCCTATTCAGATGATTGTTGGCAAAGTCCTTGGTCACTTCGATGCTGATGATGGAGCCCACACCATAGCGGTAGTCCATGCGGGCGGTCGTCTCCAGCCAATCGAAGTCCGCCTCCTGCCAGGACGAGCCCTCCAGCACAGGCATGGAGCCGAACTCGGCGATCAAATTCTTCAGCTTCTGCGCGTAGGTGTCCTGCAGCTCGTCCAGTCGGGTGCAGGACTCGTAGAAGTGCTTCACCTGTATATCCTCGCGCGTGTCGTTCGCACTTGGCTCACTAGTGAGGATCAACACCAGCTTGCGGTTTAGGGCTTTGGTCAGCGTCTCGAACAGCCCAGTGGTGAACTTATTCAGGCTGAGGGCCGAATTGATGCGCGACCAATTGCCGCAGGCAAAGGCATAGAAGTCGGTGCACGGATCGGCTTTTTCATTCATGAAGCTCTTCATTTCGGCCGCCTTGGCGTACCGCAGCAGCTGCCTCATATACGGAGTGTCCTCGTTCAGCTCGTGTTTCTCCCCGTCCGCCGGCGCCGCCTGGCTGCAGCCCAGCAGCACTGACAGAGTCCACAGGATGTGGCCTATAATGAAAATAGTACGAAGCGCGTGCATCTTGGGGCCCGTTGCTTCTTGCTTCGATTTGAATGCTCGACTGAGCACAGATCCCCAGATGATACACATCAACAACATGCAGAGGCCAACGGCCAGTGGCCAACGGCCAACGGCCAGAGATGTGCCTCTATTCTCGGTAAAATGCGCAGCCCCAGAGGGTTATCTCGCATCTCCCACATCGCTGCCCCAGTTAGAGATGACGGCGTGAATGTTTGTGCAATTGAATGAATGACATCAAGTGCTATTCACCAGAATTTGCAATTGTACGGGAGATATGTATGTACTTGGAAAGTATTTCGTTCCACATTACTCACCTTACCGAAATGGAGAACGCTGCAAAAGTTTCTTCCGCTGCACATTGGGCCAGACAGCCGATATTTTGGCATAAATTCGAAAACTTTACAGAAACAAAATCTTACTTTAATTGCACATTTTCATGGTGCATACCTTGGCTAGAAAAAATGGATATACATTTCTGATTTTAATGCTGCGCTGAAATCAAAGGAAAAGTTTCTTATTTCTAGTAGTACAAATTCACTTACATACATATGTATGTATGTAGTTACTTATAATTATTTATTAATTAAAAGTGAGATTTACTTAATGCAACTTTGATTTATACCTCTTCTTCGAATAATAGTACTCCCATCAGCTATCAATTTGATTAGGTATTAATTTATTAATTAATGAATCAAGAACTCATTTTGTTGTGTTGAGCAGGTCAACTTTTGTATGGACCCACGGAATCCAAAGCAAATCCAAATAAGTTTCACGAATGCCCATTATATTTGTGAATTCAAAATAATGTGTGCAATGCTCAACGCTCACAACTTTCGAATTTCAATTCAATCGGCATTGGCAGTTGAACGCAACGCAATAAAATTGATATTGAGCAATTACTTTGTCAATAATAATTGCTCGCTGAATGATTAAGTGCCTCGGGCTTTTCTCCGAGTGTTTACCAAGCAACGTGAGCTGCGATTTGATCACGAGCTCCCCACTAACCAACGGACACGAGACGACTTGGGAGAACAACGACCAGGCCCCATGGCTGATAAGACGGGAGAGAGTATGCGAGTGGGAGAGCTTGGGGCTTGGGCTAACTCTCTGGTGCTCTGACTCAGTCTCAATCCCAGCAAAGAGTACAGTAAATCAGTGTACGGAAGTGCGTTGTGTATGGGGCAGTGCTCTGTTGTTGCCGCCACTTTCAGTTGCCCGTGGAATGTTCGCCATGAAGAACGCTTCTGTTGCTACTGCTGCTGCTGCTGCTGGCCAGCTCGTGCTGCTGATTCTGATTGCTGGGATTGGGTGCGCCCAGGGTCATTTGCTGTCCCAGCCGGCGATGGAATTACGCATTCAGGCCCAGGAACAGCTCATCTCGCAGCACAACGACAGCGCCTATGTGCAGCGTCTGATGCGGCTGTCCAAGTCGGCCGAGATGCGAAACTATATGCAGCCGGAACTGGAGCCCTGCGACAATTTTTACGCCTACAGTTGCGGCAATTGGCCCAAAATCAATCCAGCCAATACCGCAAACCCACGCGAGACCAACTACGAGCAGGTGCTGGTCAAAGGCTACCACCACAAGCAGCAGCGCCTGCTGCAGCGGCCGGCTGACGCTGCCGTCGATGCTGATGAGGTGCTCAAATTAAAAGAGTTCTTCGCCAACTGCCTGCACTTCCGCCAGACGCCGCTCCCCGTGTACCGCCAACAGTTGCTGGAGATTGTGGCCGAGTTTGGACACATGCCCGTCCTGGCTCTGCCGGGTCAGCAGTGGCCCGCCGACGAGTTCGATTGGGTGGCCACCGTGGCACGCATCAAGCGAAAGTATGGCCTGGACATCATACTGCGCCTCCAGGTGTCTCCTGCGGGCATCTATGTGGGACAACCGCAGCAGATTCTGCCACAGCCCAATCGGCAGGGACGAGCTGCCACCATAGCGGATCAGCTGGAGCGGTATTTGGGTGTGGAAACGCAATTGGCACAGACCACTTCGTTGCAAATCACGCGAATGGAGGATTTGGTGGCCCAATATATGAGGGATCTTCCTGTGGGCGTGCTCGCACGTCCACGCACACCCGAGGAGCTGGATGCCCTCTACTCTCCAGTGCTCAACCTCACCCAGTACATTGAACTTGTCCTCGAGCGGCCATTGAACGCGAACGATACCCTGTACGAGCATGTGCCCAGCTATCAGGCGCATCTGCTGGACTTCCTGACAAACATTTCACCGCAGATGCATGCCAACTATATCTACCACGAGCTGCTGCAGCACTTTTACTTCGAGTGGAGTGGCTCCGTGGTGGAGCATTGCACGTCCAAGGCGAGGAGTCTGTTCCCCGAGCTGCTCGACAACATGGTCTTGGGCGAGTACGGAGATGCAGCCACGCTGAGCGACATTGAAGCCGTGTGGCAGGAGATCAAGCGCAGCTTCCGCGACCTGCTGGAGAACGACACCGCCGATTGGTTGGCTTTGCCGACGCGCACCAAGCTGCTGGACCAGATCAATGCCACTCACCTGCTGGTCAACGGACATGCGGATGTCAATTTCACGCAGACCTATGAACGATTGGAACTAAAGACTCGGGACTATCTACAGAACTTGCGGGCCGTGCTCAGTCACGACAGCCTGAAGACCAAATTGCCTGCGGCTCCACTGACAACGGCCAGCTATGATCCCGTGGAGAATCGTGTCCTGTTACCGGTGGCCCTGCTGCAGCCGAACTATCTGTGGTCCCGCTACTACCCTCGCGCCCTGCGTTACGGCAGTTTGGGCACTCTCCTCGCCCACGAGTTGGCCCACAGCATCGAGGATGTCTCGCACTGGGATGCCCCGTCGTTGAGAGATTACTACAAGCGATGGGCCTGCTTCAAGGAACAGTACGGACGTCTGCGACTCAATGGAGAGTATTTGCCGAAGAACGATCTGCAGGCGGAGAACATAGCCGACAATCTGGCTGTGCAGGTGTCCTACCACGCCTACTCAAAGTACTTGAAGGAGCTGGCCCCATCCGCCCTGGCCTCGGAGCAGCTGCCACAGCTGACCCAGAACCCGCGGCAGCTGTTCTTCATCAGCTATGCCCAGTTCTGGTGCACCGATTCAAATGAGAGGTTCCGCGACAGGGTATCCCTTCTCGTTTCGCATACACCCAATGCCCTGAGGGTGCTGGGTTCACTCTCCAACCTGGGAGCCTTCCAGCGGGACTTTGCCTGCAGCAGTGGCAGTCCGATGACCTCCGCCCAGAAGTGTCAGCTGTACGGCATCTCCCTGGATTAGCTCGGAGCGGTGCCGATCCCGATCCGATCGAATGCAACATATTCTTGGATGAAATATATTTTTATGTACAGTAGCAGACAAAGAAATCCGGACACTCCTGTTAGCTAACTTTAAACCGATGGCGGGAAACTAAAAAACGTCTAACTGAGTCGGGAAATATTTTTATGGCATATATACATTCATTAGCTGTTAATTGATGACTTGTTTTCATTTTACAAAGAAAACAGTTTTAACAAAAAATTAAAAACTTTTGACTTTCTATGTATTCGTATGATTTAAACGACCACCCGCCGCAGGGAGTGAGAGGAAGACCACCCAAAAGGACCTTCAATGTAGGATCGTATTTGTAAACGCTTGAGCGTCAAAGATCGCTTCAAATTGGCAAAAAATATTAGAAGGGAGTTTATCTAGTCGGTAGGTATCCATATGTCTTCAGAAGACAGGAGTTAAAGGTAGTGAGACAGTAAAATTACCACCTAAGGTACTTCAAAAAATCCAGACAAAGCTCCAATTGGCCAAAATCAACAAAACTTGGGCTTTAAATGATTGGAGAAAAGTAATGTTTGTAATAATGGCAAGAAAAAACTGTTTGGTTCGGATATTATGACGAATGATCGCCAGAAAGTCGGTGAACGCTTTAAAAATGAGTCCCAAACGGTGAAGCAAGGAGGCAGCAGGATGGTCTGGGGATTTTTTTATACCCGTACTCGAAGAATCTCTTTTTAAACCCGTACTCAAAAAAGAGTTAAGGGGTATATTAGATTTTTGGTAAAAGTTGATGTGTGCAACGCATATATATTCTTGATCAGCATCAATAGCCGAGTCGATATAGCCATGCCCGTCTGCCCGTCCGTCTGTCCGTCTTGATGAGCGCCTAGATCTTAGTCTAAGAGCTAGAGAAACCAAATTTGGTTTCCAGACTCATGTGATATCACACTGCTACAAGTGTATTTCTAAATTTCGCCCCGCCCCCTTCCGCATCCACAAAGGACAAAAATCTGTGGCAGGCACAATTTTAAAGATCCAAATAAACTTAAAACGCATTATCGTAGAAAATGACCATATCTACTAGATTCTGCTACTATGTATACCCAGAATGATGAAATAAATTTTTAGTTGCTTCCCCCGCCTACTTCAGCCAGACACCTTTTACCCATTTTCTTTCTCGCTCGCACACTCTACCGCGTTTAGTCCGCGAGCGCCCTCTACCGGAGATGATGTAGAATCTAAATTGTACATGTACAATCTACATGTTAGATGTAGAATATACATTGTAGATGTAGATAGCAGATGTAGAAAAAAAATTTAAAATGTAAAATTTGTTTGTAATTCTAAAATTCTAAAAAGTCATAAGCTCAAAAATGTATATACTGACTGAGTACGGGTATAAGTAGAGTCGCGTCCCCAGAAGCGATTCACGCGTTCCTTCTCATTTTTTTACGATTACGATTTTTTTACGATACGATTGGTGAAAATCAAGAAGTTCAACTGAGGTTGTTATATTTAGTTACTGCCAATAACTGATTAATGACGATATTAATGGTATCAATATATATGCAATAGATTTCACCAAATTATCCAACTCATTCAGCAACAACATTTTTTAAATTTTCTTGCTTAAGTTTTTGTTGTAAAATTCGGTAGCAACCTCTAAAAAAGTTTTTTAAATAAAAATAAAAACTTTAATATTACTATCAAACCGAAGATAACAAAATTAAGGGGAGTCGCGTTTAAATTTCAAAAAATATCTAGCATATCTACCAGATTGCCGAACCTGAATTAGATCGGATCATTATTATAGCCAGAATGATGAAATTAATTTTCAGTTGCTTCCCCCACCTCCTCCAGCACGAGACCGCGCTACTCTTTCTTTTTCTCGCTCGCACACACTCTTCCCTGTGCAATGCGCGACCTTTGCGGAGAAGATGTAGAATCAACATTGTAGATGTATATGTAGATAACACATGTAGCAAAAACATGTAAAATATTTTAAAATTCTACATTAATCATAAGCTCACAAATTTATATACTGACGGAGTACGGATATAATAGTTGAGTCGCGTCCACAGAAGCGACCCACACGTTCCTTCTCGTTTTTATACCCGTACTCAAAAAAGAGTTAAGGGGTATATTAGATTTGTGGTAAAAGTGGATGTGTGTAACGCAGAGAAGGAAACGTTTCCGACCCCATAAAGTATATATATTCTTGATCAGCATCAATAGCCGAGTCGATATAGCCATGTCTGTCTGTCCGTCTGTCTGTCTGTCTGTCTGTCTGTCTGTCTGTCTGTCTGTCCGTCTTGTTGAGCGCCTAGATCTCAGAGACTATAAGAGATAGGGCAACCAAATTTGGTTTCCGCACTCATGTGATATCACACTGCTACAAGTGTATTTCAAAATTTCGCCCCGCCCCCTTCCGCCCACACAAAGGACGAAAATCTGTGGCAGGCACATTTTTAAAGATACGCTAAAATTAAAAACGCAGTATCGTAGAGAATGACCATATCTACCAGACTGCCGATTTTGAATCAGATCGGATCATAATTATAGCCAGAATGAAGAAATTAATTTTCAGTCGCTTCCCCTGCCCCCTCCTGACAACGACAACGCAAGTCATTTTCCTTCTCGCTCGCACACTCTGTCGCGTTCAGTGCGCGAGCAACACCTAGCGGAGGAGATGTAGAATCTAAATGGTACATGTTTAATCTACTTGTTAGATGTAGAATATACATAATATATGTAGATGTAGATAACAGATGTAGCAAAAAAATGTAAAGTGTAAAATTTTTTTTTTTTAATTCTAAAATTCTAAAAAATTATATGCTCAAATATATATATATTGACTGAGTACGGGTATAAGTAGAGTCGCGTCCCCAGAAGCGACTCGCACGTTCCTTCTCGTTTATTATAGAGTTGGGTATCTGGCATTAATTGACGGATAGGTAAACACGGTCACGTCCAAAAAATTTGTAGAGAAAAACCTCATACCGTCTAATGAGAAGTCTTTTCCGCCCTCATCTTCTAGGACGATTCTGCTCCTTGCCACAGTGCAACATTGGTCAAGAATATTTTGTTTAACTTTGCTATTACATTTTGCTATGATTTATTCAAAAATGTAGATTTTCGCAACGATGAGTTTGAGGATGATGTTCTAGTTCATTGTATACTTTTCAATATTCATCAAACGTTATACCAGAACAATTTTATTTCCTGATACAAAACTTTGTGTGCATATTTCTGTGCAAATATAAAAGTGAATACAAAACAAGTATATTTGGGTTTAAGCTGTTTATGTATTTCTCTTGCTGTTTATATTGTTAACTTTGTTTTAATAAGCTTTTTTCTTGAGAAACATAGAAACATATTGTGTAAAACAATAAAATTCACTTATTTTTGAGTGTCCCGATTTCTATGTACGCTACTGTACGTAAACAGTATAAACCATTAAATTTGTTAGTAGATGGAGCACTTGTACTCCGGATCCATGGGCGCTGACTGGGAGCAGTTGAAGACCCAGGAGAACTCCTGGAAATTGGATAGCGAGCCAATCACCCGATACATGCCAGGTGCATGGTTGTCTGTCTGGGCGACGGTCTTCTTGAACAGCGTCTGGACATCGTCGCACCACAGCTGGGCAAAGCCCACGAAGAACAGCTGGCGATTGTTCAGGTCCAGCCCCTCCAAGGTCTCCTGCTGGCGCTTCTCCTCCGACTGCTGCCCCAGCCAGCGCTCGTAGGCGGCGTAGGCGAGCTTCACTCCGGCATTGTCCGCTATATTCTCCGACTGCTGCGTGCTCTCCGGCAGCTTGGAGCCGCCGTATCTGTAGGCATGGTACTGCGCCTGGAAGCACTTGCGCCGCTCCTCGAACTCGTAGCGAGACTTGATGTCCCACCAGGGGGCCAGGTTGCCGCCGGCATCGTAGTTCCGGCCCTCGACATCAAAGCCGTGTATCATCTCGTGAGCCAGCAGGTAGCCCAGCGTGGCATACTTGAGGGCCTGCGGGTACTGGTCGCCCCAGAAGTAGCGAGGCTGCAGCAGCGCCACCGGAATGGTGATGTTGTTCTCCAGGATGTTATAGGCGGGCGTGAAGCTCAACAGATCGGTGTCCTCCAGCGTGCTGGGTGGCTGCCGAATTCTATCCGTGCTGCGCTTGGCCTGGGCCAAGTTCAGCTGCTGGACATTGGCCACATAGTTGAGGCGATCGATGTCCACCGCTCCGTAGAGCTGCTCGAAGTTCTCGTTGTCGTAGGAGTTGATGTGCAACTGCATGCTGTCCAGCTTCTCGATGGCCAGCTGGCGTGTGGCATTGGCGATCCAATCGTGCTTGTCCCCCGCCAACTGCTGCCGGAACACTGTCCGGATCTGGTCCCACACGCTGTGCACCTCCGCCTCGGCCTCCGGGCTGCGGTAGCTGGCATAGACCACGTGGTCGGTGAGCTTCCCAAAGTACTTCTTGGTCTTCTCGACGCACCACTTTGGCAGAGTACTGGGCGCGGCATCCACCAGGTAGTCCTGCATCAGCTGCCACAGCACATACGTGGCCAGCAGTGAGGGCGGCGTGGCCTTGACGATGCTCAAGGCATTGTCCAGATACGGCTCATCGAAGATGTACAGCATTTCCGGCACATTCTCCGGTCCCAGGACGAGGCCAAAGAACTCGGTGAAGTTCATGTGGTCGCCATACTTCTCCTCCAGCTCGGGCAGCGTGTACAGGGAGAGATTATCCTCGATGGACTCCGAGGTGGAACTGGAGCCGGCCGACATCAAACGCTTCTCCAGCGCACGGAGCTCTTCGGCGATCTTCCTGGCATGGTGGGCACTGAGGCCAAAGTACTGCTGCAGATCCTTGGAGGAGCTGGCCTCCTCCAGAAGATTGAGGATGCCCGAGCTGGAGAGCATCTCGTATTCGGGCGGACCGAGATACACACGGCTCAAAGTCTTGTTTTGGATGTCGCGCATTATGTCCACGGACAGGATAATATGGTGGCCGTACTTGTGCTGGATCTGGGCCACAGTCTGCCACCAGATGAAGTCCGAGGCGTTCCAGCGGTCGCCAGCCAAGGCCGGAATCTCGCCGTACTCCCGGTAGACATTCTCCAGCGCCAGCTTGTAGTGGACATCGTCGCGATGCACCAGGCCGCAGGAGAGATAGAATCGCTGCAGCTTCTTCTCCAGCTCCGTTTTCAGCTCATTCGAAAGCAGCAGGCTATGCAGCCGACGATCGAATCCCTTGGAGATCAGCTTGAATGTGTCGGTGGTGATGTCGTTCAGCAGCTGGGCGGGATTCTGGCGGTGCCAGTTGCCGCACGCATGGCTGTAGAAGTCGTCGCAGGCTGCTATCTCTGGCTTCAGCATGGCCTTGATGTCGGCCACCTTCGAGTGGCGGATGATGCTCTTGGCATAGTCCGAGGTCAGGTCATCCGCAGTAGCAGAGACTGCCACCAAAAGGCTTACAGCCCCCCAGAGTGGCCACAAAACCCGTCTCAACATGATCTCACGCTTGGTTCAACTGATTCTCAGTTGGCATTTCAATCGCTGATTTGTTGAGGGCCACAGCCAGCCGCCTATCAGTGCGATATTTGTTTACACAGAATGTTCAGTATAGAGCCAGACACAGCCACAGAGCTCTGTGGTAGGTCAATCTCTTATCGCACCGACAGCTTCCACAGATAGTGGCGGCTCTTATACGAGTCTTATAATTAAGTAGAAGCTACTCAGAGTGTGCGACTTGACCTAGGAAGTATTTATTCCACTATTTCCATATTCCATATTTTGTAATTAAAAAAACCCTGATCTTTTTTCAGCCATACCCATCATCTATATACTGGCCATTGTGCCCGGTCTGATGCCCTGGGACAGTGGCTACAAGTTTCTATCGTTCTGCCATGTCTTCGGCTCGGTGGCACCCTGGTGCGGCAGCTTCGTCTACCATCTGTTCATGAACATCGAGAAGGGCGAGAATGTCTACTATACACTGCTCAAGCTGGACATGGTCGGAATCTGGGTGAGCCAGAGCTTCGGTGAGTGTAATCGTAGCTCATATCATATCATCTCCCTCTCCCTCTCCCGCTTTGATTCAGAGGCCAATTAAATGCACGCGCTGCTCGGAAGCGGTAGCGGAACTACATACATATGTACATGTTTAATGAGTATTCAATATATAGGAACTATTAAGAACTAAACCGTGTACATAATCAGTACACCTTGCATCTGAGGGGGGGATTCATTCTGGTGCTGTTGCCGCACTGAAAGGCCTCGGCAAAGGATCGGCTGTTGGCCATCATGGCGCGCACCCGCACTTCGGACGGCGCATGGATACTGGTCATGACATGGGCATGTCGCCTCTCGGGCAACACAGCCGAGCACATGGTCTGGGCCAGGCTGAGGAAGAAGAGCTGCTGCGGCGTCTGCAACATATGGGGCAGGGCTTCCGCATCTGCAGCCACAGCCTTCGAGTGATCCAGCAGCCACTTGTGGTAGGCGGCCAGGGCAATGCGGATGCCCACATTGTCGGCAATGTTCTCGCCTTGCGTCTCCCTTCGGGGCAGCTTTTGGTTGCCGAAGCGCAGCTCGCCAAACTGATCCACCAGACACTGTTTGAGCAGGTGGAAGCTCGTCTTGGCCTCGCTGGACCACGAGTCGCGTAGATTTCCCCTTCCATCGAACAACAGATTCGAGTCGTCAAAGGCGTGGGCTATCTCGTGGGCGAGGTCGAATCCCAGGGTGCCGTACTTGAGGGCCGCCGGGTAGACATCGTCCCAGAAGTAGCGATGCTGCATGTGGCTGGCTGGGAAGATCACCAGATTGGCCTCCCTGATGTAGCAGGGCGAGTCGATCATGTCGTCGTAGAAGATGGGCTTGGACTGCGGCCGCTGCAGGTCCTCTCGCAGGTTGAGGGCGCGCACCTCCAGCAGGCGCTCAATGTTGCCATAGTAGTCTGCCGAGCTGATGATCAGCGAGCCGTAGTGTTCCTCAAAGTCGACAGACTCCTCGCCAGATATCTGGAAGGACATGAGCTTGAGCTTCTCCACCATCCCGTTGCGCGTCTGCTCGTCCAGCCACTCCAAATCGGGGCCATTCAGCATCGTCTCGAAGGTGGCCTTCAGCTCCAGAAACAACTGGCGCAGGATGGCGGGAATGTGGGGACTCTGCTGCTCCAGGGAGTGATAGACCATGTGATCCAACACAGCAGGAAAGAGATCCGTGGTCCGTTTCGCACAGTACTCCTCCTGCTGCTGCTGCTGTTGCTTCTGTTGCTGCTGTTGCTGGTACTTCTCGGGCTCCAAGTTCAACACAAAGTCCTCCACCAGGCTCGACAGCATATAGTTGGCCAGCACCCGTTTGGGTGTGCTCGCGAGGATCTTGTTCAGCTGCCAGAGGTAGCCGGGTACGTATTCGTAGACGGGCAGCTGGTAGTCATGGCCCAGCCAGTGGCTCACAAATCTGGTAAAGTTGAGGGACGGTCCGTAGGTATCCGTCAGAGAGCTGATCACCGTCAGGCGTTGCCTCAATCTCGGATCACCCACCATCTTCTGGCCGATGCCACTGCGCCCCAGCTCCGCATCCAGGGCGCTAATCTCGATGGCCGTCTGATGAGCACGCTCTGGCGAGACCCCCAACAGCCTCTGCAGCCTCCACTTCAGGCGCACCTGCCGGACCAGTTTCATAGAATCCTCCTCTTTGATGACTACCAGGTCATCCCTTTGGCCCAAGGACAAGCGATTCATCTGGCTGTTGGCAATATCGGGACCGACACTAACGCCCAGGAACGTGATCTTGCCGTAGCGTCGCAGCAGCGTGGCCATCATCTCAATGGCATCGAACTTGGACTCGTCCCAAGTGCTGCCCTCCACGGCGGGCATGCCACCAAATTCCCTGAGGATATGGAGCAGATGGCTGCGCTGGTTCATCCTCAGTGCCGTGGTGTTCAGGCACGACTCGTAGAAGTACTTCACCCGCGTCTCCATGGGTCTGTCTGTGCTCATCTTGGGCTCGTTCAGCAGCTGTCGCACCCGCCGCAGATAGCCATCATGGAGTGCCTGCCCAATGCTTTTGTCCGTCTCCACGGAGGCTGCATTTATCGAGGGATACTTCCCGCACGCATGGCCATAGAAGTCATCGCAGGGACTCACACGCGGATCGATGAAGGATCGCATATCCGCTGACTTGGCATGCCGCATGATCTCATGGCCCAGGGGCGTCGTTAGCTCCTTATAAACGCCCCCCTGGACACCCAGACGCCCTATGGCGATAAAGATTAGGCAGGCGAGAGCTTGAGGAGTGGCTCCCATTTTCGGTTGTGTGCTGCACGAGATTTGTTAAGCGACTGATCTCAACATTTTTGGCTGGGAATCGGCGGTGGCTTATCGGTGGGGATGGCCTCTCCCTCTCTCATCACACTACTATCTCTCTTCCGCTGTCTCTTTGCAGGTGCTTTGCCCCTGGTGGTGGCCACAACGCTGTGCTTCACGCCCGTTCTCAAGTGGCTAATCATCAGCTCCTATTGCCTGCTCTCGCTGTGGGGCCTCTACAAGGTAAGCAAAAGTTCTAGTGGCTGCAACTAAATTATATATGTATCTATTTTGATTTGATTTGATTCTTTTGACAGGCTCTGACCGCCAGTTCGCCCTGGCAGCGTCGCCTCTGTTTTGCTCTGCCCTTTGGCATGCGCTCCATACTGACCTTTCTGCGGATCCGGGGAATGGTCGGCGGCAGTCACATGGCCCTCTCCCATGTCTATCTGCAGGTGCGTATGTCCAGGCTTTCCAATTCACTAACATGCTATTTTCTATAACTAAACGTTTTTGGCTGGCCTCTCTCTCTGTGCGCATAGGTTGAAGTTGTAAGTGCCACAATTTTTCATACATATACGTACATTCGAGTAAATGGACAATGCCGCAACCCGATTTGACCGGCTGACACCAGTTCAGTACAGACACAGAGCCCTGCATCACTGCCCCCATTGCTAATTTGTTCCCTCTCTTCTCCCACTTGTCTGTGTGTTGCTTCCAGGATGGCGTCTCCATTCTGGGCGGTGCCATTGGTGCCATGCGTATACCGGAGAAGTGGTTCCCCGGCGTGGTCGACTTCTATCTGAATTCACACAACATCATGCACGTGCTGGTCGTGGTGGCTGTCTACTCCATGCATAAAGTGAGCAAAACGTATCCATGGGATTAAACATCCTAGTGCCGATTACAATCATTTATTTTGTATTTTCTAGGCCACCATCAAGGACTTTGAGTGGATGTCGACACAGACATGCAATAGCTTCGCCAATGTCACCGAGCAGGCGCTCGGCCATGTGGAGCTATGACCCGTTTACTGGCTGCTGCTGCTACTGCTGCTGCTGCCATTGCCATGGATGCTGTTGGCCAGGCCGCGGGCCAAGCGATCAAATGCGATACGAGCCCTGATGGCCTTGACCAGGAGGAGGAGACGGCCACCGAACGGTGCTGGGTGAAACTGCGCGCCTGCGCACGCTGACTAGATAGTTAAAGACATAAAGACATAAAGACAAATGCGCTACTTGAGTATATACCGTGTATAATGTTGCAGTAACAATATACATATGTATATCTAGTTATAGGCCATACATATACATATAGTACATATATATATAGTACATATATGTGAACTGTATAGTACATATAGTACATACTTCGACTGTGGTATTAAGCATTAAGGTTATATAAATTACTGAAATGAAACAGAAGATAATTGAAAAGAACTTGAATGTGCAAAAAGTCTAACCAGATGAGATTAACAGATCAGATCGAACCGAACCGATGATGGGTACCTATATAAGTATGTAAGTACGAGTATAGTATATGAGTAATAATGATTTGAATGATGTTGATACATGTGTACCTCATTGTGCTTACGACAAAAACATCTAATTTTCAAATATTGTATGTATTGTATGTATAACTTTGTACCTCGTCGAGAATTCTTACAATAAGGACACCACACCTATAAGCTAACCTTCTTCCTAGTTGATCTTTTTAGATATGCAAATTGTTAATTTTTGGCAACCGTAACGTAACGTAACGTAACGTAACGTAACGTGGTAGTGGTAGTCTGTCTCTATAAGGACTCTCTATTAAGTAATGCTCCAATCTGTGCATAGTTGTGAAATGGAACCAAACAAAAAAAAAAAAAAAAAAAACCAAAAACTGGAACCACGACAAAGTTGTTGTTGCATGTTGTGTGCCAGTAGTTACGAATAGTTAGATGAAGCGGAGTCGCGGAGTCTTGGAGTCAGTGGTCGGGAGAGGAGTCTTGGAGTATTCCATGTTGGACAAGCGTGAAACAATGAAATGAACAAACAATCTTCTCGGCTAAAACGCTGCTGCAACGAATCACGTACATACAATACGTAGTGAATGCTGCTATACCATATACTACTAGTAAGAGTACTTAAACTTAATACGATATTGAGTTGATATCATTTATGTCAATTGATTGCGCAATATAAACCTCAAGTATTTACTGAGCTCCCCGAATATACATACATACCTACTTATTATATATTGAATATGAATTAGTAAAATTTGCAATATTTATTACCCTAGAATCTTAGGCATGTCATGAATTAGGGCAGGTATTCTTACAACCAACCAAACAACCAACCAACCAACCAACCAACCAACCAACTAACAAACAAACCAACAAACAATGAAACAAAGAATCATACTAGGTACGATAGCAAACCATTCAAAAATGTCGGTATACTTTTAATCCAAAAACGCAACGCGAACAATTATGAGTATGTAACATGTTTTAGTAGTGTCAATAATTTACACCACCCTCCAATGAGAGAGAAAGAGAACAAACCGAGAAAATCTAACACATGAAACGTAAGCTAACAAACTAATTCAACAAAGCAATAATTAATAATTAATAGGCAAACTCAATGCTTTTAAGTTACAAAAGTTGCTGCTAGTTGTAAGTAACAATTATAAAAATATTGTCAAATGATTTTCTGAGAAGAGAAGGTTAATAAATGAAAACAATAAATGAACAGAAACCCAAATTCGAGTTTTGAAAATGTAGCCACACGCAACTTACGCTAGGTGGCGCTGGACTGGGCTTCTCGCTGGGAAACACTGGAATATCGTTTATAGTTTATCGTTTTTATCGTTTATAGTTTATTAAATTCTTTAGTAAATTCTTACATTCGCGCCATGCATTTTACATATATAGACAATATGAGCTTTTATCCCTCTGCTATACTCTTCTCCTCTTCCTCTGCAACATGCAATTTTTATTCGAGTTGCTGACTAGTTTTATTTTATAAATATGATTTGTTTAGATACGATTTAAACGCTTTTGATTGATGCGTGTTCTATAAGTAGATTCGGATACACACTCATAATATATGAAGACTCTATACATATATGTATATATAAATGTATATTTAAAAAATTTACAAAAATGGAAAACTTACACATACGAAGCTAGTTAGCACTTTAAAATTCCTAATCTCTGACTCTTCCGCATATGTACCATAGTGTAGTATATAAATATGTAATTCGTTAAAGTAACAACTGCATTGCACATTTTGTCGGTGTTTCTTGCTTCTGTTATTTCTTTAGTATATTTCTATATGCATATATATTTCTGATACGCTGCTGATTTTTTTTTAATTAGCGTTCAGTGTTTTGGTTTTGGTTTTAGTATTTGATTCTTTCATTGTTAAACTTTGTTCATCTTTATTCTCTTATCATATTAATGCATATGCTGCGTAGTAGTAGTAACTTTAGAGACAATTCCCCGTATAAATATTGCCGATTAAACTAAACATTAAAACATACATTTATGAAGCAACCTATTATTCCATTACAACGTTCGTTTCAATTGCGCTTTGGATTTGCAGCAAACATTTGGCACCAAAAAGAATTACAATAACTAAAAAGTATTTATGCTAAACAGAATAAAATACGAGTAGGTACAATAAATAAACGATTCACGTAAAAACTAAACGAAATTCAATCTCACTCTCTGTGGGTGCCCAGTGACTTTCGACCTTCGCCTCTGTCTCTTAGCGCTGTGCGTAGGAGAAGTCCGTCTGGGCCTGTGCGTCCTGGCTACTCTGAGGCTGGAGCTGGGGTTGATGATGATGCTGGTGCAGGTGATGATGATGCAGGCAGCCAGCAGCTTGCTCCACCTGATAGCCCAGTGTTTGACGCTCTAGCGTGGAGAATCTCGAAGCTATCATCATTTGCTGCTGATTCTGCACCACCGAGAAGCTCAGGCCACACGAGCAATGCTCAATATGGGGCTGAGGCGTTGCCTGTCCGGGGGTGGCATGCACTAGAGCTTGCTCCGTGATGATTGTAGGTGGCGGCGATGGCGACGACAAACAGTCCTGACAGTAATGTGCTCCTGCTGCTGCTGCAGGCGAATCGGTTGGGACTACGCCTGCGACTGTTGCGTGATGATTGAACTGGCTGAAGGAGGGCGGCGGCGGTGGAGGCGGTGGCGGCGTCATCGAGTGGCTGGAGCTGGAGTCCGAGGTCTCGGTGGTCGTGTCAGTGGTGGTGCTGGTTGAGGTCGATGTGGACGATGATGGCTTGTGTGGCTGATGTGGCTGATCGGGTGGATGATGGCAGCGACATATTGTAACTCAAAAAGTGCCGCCATCGTGCTGGTGACTAGATGCCAATGAAGATGTCAATGCGGATGCCGGTGGTGCTGTGATTGTGCTTGTGCCTGGGGCTGTGGCTGTGGCTGCGGCTGTTGCTGTGACGGTGACCTCGACAGAAGACGACAATGGGGCTGGGGCTGAGGCTGGGGCTACTGCCACTGCTACCACATTGGCCGGCTGGTGTTTCAAGGTGCTATACCCATCGCCCTCGTCATCGCCATTCTGCTGCAGCTGCTGCCCCAGCGGTTGATGATAATGGTGATTGTTTATGGAATGATTCTGATTCTGACTGTGATTGATTTGTGTGTAGGCTTGTGTGTTGGGATTGGGTGAGTGTGCCAGTGCCTGTGCCTCCTCGCTGGCCAAGATTCCATTGCTCGATACCCCCAATGATTTTGGCGGTATTGGCGGAGGTGGTACCGGCATATCCTCCACATCGAACGAGCTCGTCGAGCTCTCCCGCTGCGTGATATTCATCGGTGCGGCCGTGGCATGCATTTCCAGGCTGCCGATGGAGCTTATGCGGCAGTGCTCACGATGATGCACAGTACTGGCCGCCGAAATCGAAGAGGAGTCCTCGCTGAGATTATTGAGATTCATGTGATTCAGCTCGCGCGAGCTGGTCGTCGAGATGCCCGAGTCGCGGAAGTCGTTCGGGACAAAGCAGACATTGAGATGTCCGCCGCCGCCGCCGCCGCCACCATCCTGGAAGTTGGGAGGCAGCGAGTGCGGCTGCTGATCAGCCTCGGGATCGTCGAAGCTGATGTCTACCACGGCGTACTTCTGGCCATGCTGCTGCTGCTGTTGGTGCTGGGATGAGTGGCGACGGCCGACGCCATCGCCGCCTCCAAAATCGTTGAAAATCATAGGATTCGATGCTCGCTTGTCCGGCGTAATTCCACGCGGCGGCAGCGGTGGTGCGTTCGGAGAGTTAACTGCCGGCTGCCGCTTGGGCGGCACCTCTGGACTGTCCATCATGGCTCCTCCTCCTCCGTTGGCGATAAAGTTCTGCGATCGGGGACGATTGGGCACTGGAGGAGCCGCAGCACTCTCGTCCAGCGGTATGGTAAGGCTCTCCTTGCTCAGCGTCTGATACGAATTGAGGGGATCGACGGGACGCACAGTGTCTACCTGTCTCGTGTAGATTTCATCTAGCTCGTAAACATAGTTGGCATTGGGATTGGCATTCTGGCTGCTGGAGGAGGATGCTGCTGCCTGCGCCGTGCGCTGCTCCGTGGGTAGAGGCGGCAGTGGCGTGTTCACAATGCTGTCCGAGTGCTGCCGCTTGAGGCGACCCATGCCCGACAGACTCTGCTTCAGCTGGGAGAATCGCTCCAGCAGGCGATTGTGTAGCGGTTGAACGCCGCTGGGAGCCAACTGTCCATGCAGCTCCAGAGCCTGCTCCAGAATTTGTATTTGTTCGAGTATCAGACCCTTCAGGCGCTGCACATTCGCCTGCTGGCCGGCGCCCTGCGGCGACTTGAGGAACTGATCCGAGAAGAAGGCCTCCTGGTACTTGCTGATGCCGCCCATCACATTGGCATCGATGGTACCCTGCAGGCGCATCGAGAACGGATTGATGTTGCGTTTCGGATCGCGTCTGTACTGGACAATCAGCTCGGACAGCTCCTTGCCCGCATTGCTGATGATCTCACAGGCATATTCCACGGGTGTCAGCTCCTGCACCGACTTCTGCTTGACCTCGAACCAACGCAGAATCCCCGGCAGTGGGCTGGCTATATCCAGGATGGTCCGCTCTATCCACAGCGACTTGAACTCGTTGTCCTTGTCGATGGGTCCCTTGTATATGGGTCGATCGTAGATGAATCTCGTCACATCGTTCACCTCATAGAAGCGGGCTATTTTCTCCGGCACCGGCACCATGGCCGTCTTCAAGGCCTGAGCATCGCCCAGGGGCCGCACATTACTGATCTGTATATACTGATCGGGTGCATTGAGAATGGCGCCGTCGGGTGGACTGTTGTTACCCAAAATCTGGGCACTGGGAAACTCCGTTTGCAGGCGTTGCGTAAAGGCACCGATACGCTCGTACTCGAGGCCACGATACACAAACTGTTTGTTCTGTAAAAAACACAAGGGAATGAGAAATAAATCCAGAAGAGATCTTGAACGACTGACTTACCCTCACAAACAGCGGCAGACCCATGCCATAGAATCCCACTCGAAAGTACTCCGGCTCTGGTCTTAGCTGCGTTAAGATATTTTGAAAGAATTTCGCCTCCTGTATGAGTATTTCGCTCAGTTTATTGTAGTCAAAGCGACGCGTTTCGTACAGTTGGGCCAGCTCTTTGCACAGCGGAATGCCCTTCTCCCAGCATTTGCCCTTGTCGAAATATTTGAGGATCTGCAATGCATGAGACTTTTTTTTTAAACATCCATAGATGGTATACAAGAAGATCATTAAGATTATTGTGGAATTGGCTACTAGCTCGTCTAACTGGATGCGTATTTCCTTTTCAATGTGTCTCGTTTCAATAACGCTGCATATCCGTTATTCTTGTCCCTTGCCTATTCCATTGCTGTGTATTGACAGACACGCTTAGAGAGGATCAGCGTCGTCTGTGCGGCTTGAGAGATAAATACCGGGCCCAGAATCGCGTAGTAGATAATAACTAGCTTAGATAGAAGGCTCTGCAGTGTGGGGAAGTCAGTTTTGAGAGTCGAGTGAGAGACCACCACCAAATGCCCTTGAAACTCGAGACAAAGAGATAATATGTACTATATACCTCATGGTATAGTCGCTCTTTTCGCTGCCACTCTGGTTGGCCGCTATTGTCGAAGGGGGCAAAGCTCTGGGTCTCCCGATCCCACGACAACATGGAAGCATACAACTTGAGGGTGAAGCCAGCCTCCGTGTAGTTCTCTGCCTGCAAGTGGAGGTTGTGCAGCTTGTAAATGTATCTGAAAGAACATTATGAATGATTAGCTGGCAAAATGCAGATAATAGTATCGGTATCCGCACCTCAGATACATCTCTTTGCGATTGATTTCGTTTTTGTAAAAGTTCAAGAGATTCACGGTGCAGGTCATGCGCTTGTCCCGATTCTCCTCGCCCTGCATCACACTGCGATAGTCGAGTAGTCGCTCCAGGAGTCGCGTAACAGAGGCTATAAATGCAATGCCAGCGTCCTTCCAATTGGGATTCTCCACTTGGACTTTCTCCAGCAAGCTGGCAAGGGATTTAGATCACGGATTAGTTATACATATGTATGTGGATAGAGGGAATCGGAATATCTACAGAATATCACAGAAAGAGAGGCGTAAAGGGTGGTTCTGCGGTTTGAACTTACACCAAGCTGAGATGTTCCCTTTTTTTTGGCATGGATGGCGGATAGCAATGCGAGTGTGAAGTGAATTATTTATATATTTACAGACATTTACATTGACATTTATATATGATTGTATGTACATTCCAGGAGGAATCTGTGCTACAACTTACATGGTGCTGAAGAGCTCCCTGTACTCGTCATCTCCTTTGTTCTCGCTAATTAGCAGATCCAACTTGTCGATGAGTTCGCTCTCCACCAGGCGGAAGGAACCGCGCGCCGCCTGCTTGGGGATGCAAGGTTACAATCGTTCTTTCAATGAGTGTTTACTGTAATCCACGCTCACCTGCTCGCACTGCATCATATCATAAAATACGGAAAGCGTTGCCTTTCTCAGTGCGGGCTCTGGCACGAGTGTGACCTCCAGGAAGGGGCCCACCATCGAGGGTATAAAGTGGAGCTTCTGTTCGCCCAACTGCGACCACATGCTCAGGATCTGGAAGCCCATCAGGACGCGCATATCGCCATGCGAGTGGAGGATCTTCAGCCGCTTGGGCTCCCTGTACTGCTCCAGCTGCAGCGACGGTTGCGTGAGGAAGGAGACCGCAAGGCTGAAGTAGCTCCACCACAGCTGCGAATCAAAGGCCTGAGCACCAAGGAAACGGTACACCAGCGGCTTGGCAAACTCCTCGAGGGACATGCGCAGCACATCGTTCGCGGCCAGCTTCATCACGAGCCAATCGTTGGGGAACACGTGCCAGTCCTGCGTGAGCAGCTCCTCGTACACCAGCAGGGACTTGCTGAGGAACTCCTTGAGGTCGCGCGGATCCTTGTTGTTGGGACTGAGCTCGTCCCAGTAGCGCTTGTAGTGCGTCTCATCCAAGAGCTGCAGCAGCCCCAGCAAACAGGACACCAACTGCGGCAGCACTGCATTGGAGCCCTCCATAATGATGCTGATGGTTCGTATCAGTATCCCGAGTATGTTCTTGCACAGCGAGTCCAGATCGTGCTGCAGCGTGTTGGTGACTTTCTCCCGCTGCTCGCGCTGCAGCTCGAACAGCTGGCTGAGAATCTCCGAGAGAATCTCGGCGCACAAGCGCAGCTCATCGCGCCGACTGAGATGCATGCGGAGGTGCTTGCAGGCCACCGACAGAACCACAGTGCGGGAATCTAAATGAAAGAAAGAATTGGTTTGAGAGTCCGATAGGGAGAATCGCGGGTTTCAGGATTTACCATCCTCGTGGAAGAGCTCGCCGGACACCAGATCCTTGACCGCATGCAGCTTGGCCTGAATCAAGCGTATGGGCGCACCACGCGGTATGGCATCCAGCATATTCCGCGCCAGCATGCCCAGCTCTGGTGCTGGCAGCGTGTCCTTCAGCTGTTCCAGGACCACGCCCGTCGAATTGAGCAGCGCCTCTTGGGTGGGTATGATGACATCGTACGACGGCACCGCCAGCATCCCATTGAGGTCCGTGAACAGCGAATGGAGGTCCCGCCGGAACGAGTCTTCGTACTGGCCGCCAGTGGCGCGCGCAAACAGACGCCGCGACTGAATCAGCAGCTTGAATATGTACTCCAGCGAGCCGAAGCACTTCTGGAACGGGTCCGGATGCTCCGCCTTGGTCATAAAGACGGCCATATGCGCCACGGATGTGATGAGACCCTTGTAGACGAGAGCGGCCGCAAAGTGATTCTCGATATACTCGTTCATTACGGGTCGGAAGTGCTGGAACTTGTTGCTCTGCAACAGACTGAAGATGCTCACTAGGACGTGGAAGACCAGACCCGAGTGCTGGGTGCTGTTCCCCTCCTCGTTCGAGAACATGGCGAACAGGGCGTCCAGCACGTCCTGCAGGAACTTCACGAGCTCCTCATCGTTCAGGCGCAGCACTCCCGTCAGCGAGTCCTGTATGGTGTCGGGATGTGCGCGCCACTGCAGCAGCGAAAGCAGATCCGCATTTTGCGTGAGCTTCGTGGAGCAGAGAAGAGAGCGCAGGACAAACACCTCCTTGGAGCTGCGACTGAAGCATCCCCCGCAATCCATCTTGGCCTGTGCGTCTCTGGGGCGGCACTGCAGTCGCAGATAGTTGGAGGCCTGCAGCTTGCTGGGATCCTCGCACTTGTACACATACAACTCGTGCTGGCCATCGCCCAGGGTGGCGCCACCCGTCTCCATTAGCCGCGCAAAGCTGAAAGCAAACAGCTTCGGCTCCGTCTTGTCCCGCGTCGAACAGTGCCGGAACTCGAACCGCACATGGGCGGTGGCAAACTTATCGATGGGCACACTCAGGCGCAGCATTTCGTTCCAACTGGGTGCATTCTGATGGTACAGGATCATCGAGCGGAACTGCGGCTGGGCGTCCATTCCCGAGGCACCCCACAGGCAGTCGGTGAGCACATTGCCCGCCACGTCCAGCACCACAACCGTCACGAGAATGTTCTTGCCCGTGTTCTTGCCCCCGCGCTCGAATTCCCCACGCTCCAGCGACAGGAACAGATCGTTCCGCACATCTCCCGGCATAATGACATCGGGGAATCCCATTTTCCGTGTAATAGTGGAGCCCTGGAAGAGCAGCGGCTGCTCCTGGCGAGCCTGCCCCAAGCCACCGTGCAGCAGCTTCAGGGACACCACAATGCCCTGGGTGCTCTGATTGCCCGTCTGGATGGGCGAGTACTTTCCACTCGACTTCTTGATCATCAGCTCTGGTAGCAGATGGAAGTCCTTCTCCTCGCTCTGGTACAGCTTGAAGTTGTACTCCCGCTCCTCGGAGGCAGTGGAGGCCTGATCCAGACTGCTGTCAAAGTGCGCAATGTCCGCCAGGGAGAGGACGCCCACGCCAAAGGGTCGACGATAGGTGGGCCCAGTGCCATGGCTGCCACTTTTCTCGATCTTCTTGATGGAGTCCGACTGTATGATCTTTCCCACCCGCATCACAACGGCCACCAAATGGAGATCCTCATTCAGATCGGCGGCACCTTTAAAGCGATAGAGAGAGGGAGAGAGAGGGAGAGAGAGGGAGAGAGAGGGAGAGAAAGGGATGGATCATTAGGGATCATCATTCTTTCGTAGTTTCCTCTTACCCAAATCCGTAAAGACAGTACAATTGCTGTGCAATTTTTCGATGTAATTGGAGAAACCATCTTTGGAGATTTTGACCAGAAACCGTTCGGACAGCGGACGCATGCGGCTTCCATCGTAGAGAAAGAAATATACCTCCGCATCATCGCCACCGATGCGATGGCCAAAGTCTCGCATGCAAAAGTACAAATGATGCGTGAGTATCTTCCGTGGGGTCTTTCTCCTCAAGGTACCGCGACTCTGTAAAGGATTGGATTAGTGACTGATCGAACAGAGACAATATCAATCAATCAAGAGAGGGCGACTCTTTACCGATGAGGCCTTGGCATTGTCCGCACTGCTCACATGGACATTGTACAGCTTGACGATACCAATGCCATGTGGATCCACGGCCAGGGGACCCTCGCGCGGCACCAGATCGAGTCCAAGCTTCCTGCAAATATCAGAAAAGTATATCTTGGTTGAGTGATGTGGATGGGCACGATGCAGCTAAAACAACTATCACACTTTGTCACGTTCCAAAGAGGACAGTTTTCCCTCCCTCGCTGATACATGGAATATCTAATTAATGGGAAATCCATGTGAAGCTTTTCGTAATTAATTGTCGCTTGAGCGCTGGAGTGGAGTCGTGCGGAGCGCCAAGAATTAAATACAAATTTGGACAGTCATCATGAACGATGATCATTAATCACAGATCCCAGATCAGAGATCACACGAGTGCTGCATATTCCCATAAATAGAACAAAACAAAGATAGCAGAGAAAGGGCACGGAGGAGTTTATTTATATAAAACGAGGAGAAACGTTGCGAGTCGCTTCTGTTGCCGCGACTCCACTTTTATACCCGTACTCAGTCAGTCAAATTTTAGAATATTTAATCTGTTTCCATTTTTCTGCTATTGTTTTAAATTCCGCTACATCTGTTTCTCTTTCTTTTCTCTCACACAAACACGCCATTCTAGCACGTTCTCTTCCGCCAGAGGGCGCACACTACACGGGACTGAGTGTACGTGAGCGAAAGGGGTTAGCCACTGTACATAAATTTCCTCATTCTGGCTATAATAATGATTCGATCTGAACCAGATTGGGGTCATTCTATACGATACTGCGTGTTTGTGTTTTCTAAATTGTGGCTGCCACTGATGTTCGTCTTTTGTGGTGGTGGAAGAGGGCAGGGCGTAAATTTGAAACACACATGTAACAGTCTGATATCACATTAGTCTGGAAACAAAATTTGGTAGCTCTAACTCTTATAGTCTCTGAGATCTAGGCTCTCATCGAGAAGGTCCATACGCATACGCAAATGATAATCAAAAATTGTAATATAAAATTTTTAAACATCTGAAAGACTGCCGACGAACTGCTCAAGACTCGGTCAAGACTCAGTCTAACGAATTCAAAAAATAAACAAATTTATGTCGTGTGCATGACGAAGAACATCGATTGAATTGTGTCTCGTCGATGAGAAATTGTGTCTGTTGTTGGTATGGTTGGACTGATCACAGTTGAATTGATCTTATGGTAACAGCTGTTCAATAATAAAACTATTTTATAACTCTCCTAACCCATACTTTGTTCATTCGCATAATGAAGGATTCTCTTCGCTGAAATAGACTCGATCGCACAATTGGCCTATGATATTATGATATTTACAATCTTAAAGAAGCTCATGTTAAAAGTTGCACCTCTTATTTCTTATACGTTTCAATCTATTCCTTATAATTGTTAACTCTGAATAGTAGAACAAAATCGTCATTTCAAGGTGCTGTAATATCAATTTACCCACATCCACATATTGTGTATGGAGATCCATTCCATTCAACGCCTTGACTCAATTCGCAGCCTACTCATGCATGCGATACGACTGAATACGACCCCCCAAAGAATCGAAGAAGAATCGACGTCGAACCCGTCATGAGAGCAAGGCTAGAACGGAATCAACTTTCCCAACAACAAACTAACTTGAAGTCGAATCAATATCAATCCAGTTCCAGTTCTATCAACAGAGATCGTATCTAAATGGTGGATACGATCGCTCATTAGGTAGGTGTTCACACTACGAGTATCTGTATGTATGTTCTATGACCCAGTACGTGGGCCAAGCCACGGCCTGCTGTTTGGGCTGCTCTTAGTGGCTACCGAGTGAAATTTACATGATGATCATGATCTTGTGGATCATGGATTCTCATCGCTTTGGCCCGCATGACGCATAAATTTCGGCTGCTGCTTACAACCATATTTTCTGGGAACGAGAGAGAGACACACAGACACATGGCTAATGGGTTCACGGCATTCCGGTGGCGCATGCGAGAAAGAGGCAACACAGACCAGAGACCAGAGGCACACGGAGCCACAGTTAGGAGCCAGGTCTACAGGCACAGCAGCCGAAACGAACCCAACAATCCAACGTCATCAGCAATATGTTGTTGGCCGCAACGTCGCGACGTCGTTGACGATGTTGCTACCTCGGCTACGCTGTGGCTTCTACCTGGCTTACGCAGAGAGCGAGATGGCCAAGACAGACAGACAGCCAGAGAGACAGAGAGAGACACGGAGCGTAGAGTGTAAGGGAGATGGCAGGCATTTTTTACAAGCCTCTGGAATCGTCAGAGACCAGAGCCACCAGAACAAGCCAAAGAAGAAGCCGTTTTGTTGTTAACGAGGCCTAAACGGCTTCGCTCAGGTGAAATCATGGGAGAGAGAGGATCATCAGAGAGAGAGAGAGCAAGAGCGAGCTCAAGTCTCCATTTTGGAACTGGAACCAGTTGAGAGGCAGAGAGATATCGTTTTGAGGTATTTTTCTCTTCTCTCTTTTGGTTTTTTTTTTGCGTGTACGTGTGGTTGCATGTGTGTGCGTTTAAGCCACCTCTGTTACGCCTTTTGGAGCTCTGGAGCTGTGGAGTTGACGTGACCAAAAAAAGAAAAAAAAATGCCAGGCAAACACTCGGACTTGAAAATGTATCTCATGGATACAAATATGAGTGGAGAGCGTGCGAGAACGGTAGCCATTGTGGTAATGAACACTTTAAGTCGTTTTTAATTAAGAGCCCCCGAAAACCGAAAGCTCAACAGGTGAAAGGTAAGGTTCCTCCCCCCAACAGATAAGCTGCAAACTATAGACACCTTTGTGGATTGAGATTTATTTAAATCCCCATCGAAAAGTGTTGAGAATCTATGACACAAAACGAAACATGAAGCACCGGCTTGAGCAAACAAAGATACAGATATCACACACCACACCACAAGATGGAGGAGTTTTCTGGGAGAGAAAGACTCGGCGACTCGCGCGACTCGCACGACTCGAGACCCAAGGAGACGATACAGAAAAATTTAATTATTTACACTTCGATAAGCAGAGCTGTCAACCACAAACAAAAAGCAGATGAAGAAACATACTAAAAAACACAGCAACACGTTCGTTCGAGTTGTATCTATGGGTCGCGCAGCTGAGATAGAGATACACCTCTCGCCTCGAATCACAATCACACATGCCATATATTTCGTATTTAATGTCTTTATAAAAGGTGTAGCTCGGAGATACATTTCAGGCAGGCAGCGCAGGGCAGGCAGCTAAACCCCACAGGAGCATGCCACAGGGCTAAAACAGAGAGGAGAAGAAGCGACAGCAGGAACAGACAATAAACAAACAGCGTACGGTGCAGGGCGGTGCGGTGTGGATGTGGAGCTTAAGACATGGAAACAGCAGCACCATCGCCGTACCACCAGCAGCCATTTCTCGAAATGCCATTTCATTATGGCAAAAAGCCCCGGCAAAAAAGAAGCCGCAGCTGAGTCATCTTGCAACCAGCAACTTGCTGCCAAAAGGAGCCGTCGCCAGAGTTGGAGCTGTTGCTGTAGCTTTAGCTTCAGCTGTAGCTGGAGATAAAGTGGGGTTGGGGCCTTCTTCTGGTGGAATGCCTGGCAACAAGTTTCAGGCTGTGGCTGTGGCGGCGGCGGTGGCGTTGCTTGTCTAGCTCTCAGCATGCAAATGGATCTTCATTTCGGAGAGGGTACAGACGGACCCTCCTCTCTCTGTGTGTAGTTGTAGTAGGATCTGCAAGCGGCGTCTGTTTGTATGGCTGGACAGATCAGCGACATATTTAGCCCTGGAAAACAAAGACGAGTGACTCTCTTTTGGAACCACTTGGCTCTGGCGAACACTTTAGAACGGCGTCTGTGGCGATTGTTCAAGTCCAAATGGAGATCAATTAAATGAACAAAAACCTTAAGCTCTTTTGGGGTTTAATTGAAATATGGCAATATATTTCGAAATACGATTAGTACCAAAGGAATTGAAATTACCTGAATCCCATTTTAATAATCTTAAGGACAGTCGGATATGGGAATTATAAACTTGATGGGTAAATAACAATAGTTGATCTCTTTTCTATTACCATGCTAAAGGACATTGCATTCAGAGAAGTTCTCATGGATTCATGACAGTAAAGTAAACTCTACGAGAATCGTACCCTCAGAAAACCCCTATTATACGTCACTAAAATATGCACAGAGCTCACTATTATTTTTGATTCCATTTCAGCATTTCGCTCGTTTCTTCAGAGACGTACTCACGGCATAAGACCTACATATGTAGGTAATCCTAGATGTTTATCATCACTCAGTTGTACATCATTTTTATACCATTTCAAAGGTACAGATAATTCTTACGAATTAAGAAAACGTAATGTTTTAGAATTAATCAATTCACATTCATACTTAAAATATAAATCTCTAAATGAACTAGAATAAAAAAAATGTACGAGCCTATACGACCTATGCTCCCAATTTCTTTCGATTCTTAGAGAGTCCCATCTCTTTGATCGTTCTTTGTTCCTTGTTCGTTCTTTCCGTCCACTCTATGAGCCAGGCAATAGAACAGAATACAAATCTAATAAAGCAATAAATTCTCTCCCTTCCAGCAAGCGACAAACTAATCAATAGATACAAATACAGATTCAGATACAGATACAGATATGCAGTGCGTGCTGTAAGCCAGATAAGAAGCTAGCACCGCTCTAGATTGAGTTAATGTCAGGGTTAAGCCGAGAACCCGTAGGTGGCAAAGAAGGTAGGACAGACAGAGAGACAGACAGACAGGTAACCCGAGGAGAGGTACGGTATGCGGTATGCGGTCGTATGTCGTATGGGTAGGTACCAAACAAATCCAAAATGCAAATGCAGCTTGAGCGTAAATTCAGACTGTGAACCGGAACCACCACCGATCGCCATGATCACTGGTTCAGGGAGAGTGAGAGAGAAACAGAAAGAGAGCGGAGAGCGGCCTGGCCTGCTCTGTGGCTTGGTATCTGTATCTGTGATTCGTGGCTCTGGGCACTGGGCTCGGTCTGGGTACTGGCGACTGGCGTCAGTAGGTTTTTGAACGCCGCTGAGAGCAGCTGCATTACAATTTTCGAGAATACACGGGTATGAGCAGAAACTGAAACTGAACAGAAACTTTGGCAGAAAATCAGAGATCAGAGCTCTCAAGAGCAGCCACCACCACCAAAGGCAGGCAGGCAGCAGCTACAACAGAGTACAGAGTGGGTTGTGGTGTGGTGCATGCAACACAAGTACAAACACAATCGCAGAATGCAATTCCCACAGCTGTGGAGGAGCTTCAAGCAAAAAAAAAAAAAAAAAAAATGCATGTACTCTCTGGGGCTGTGTTAGTGTTTATCTGCATCTGTATATGTATCTGTGTGTGGTAGCGTGTATCTATGTGTGTCCGTACGAGTGTGTGTGTGTGTTTGTATAATAGAAATCTTGAACAATGCAGCAGCTAAAAACAGCTTTAAAAATACTACAACAATACACAAAAAAAAACTGCAACAAAGTGCAAATGCAAAAACAGATTTACAAAAAAAAAAAAGCAAGCAAAACCTGAGAGCAAGCAAAAATTAATGGCCCGCAACACAGCGGAGCGGCTGCTTGTCAAAAAACGAGTTTTCAAAGTGTCAAAGTGGCAGCAATAAATTTGAATACAGAACCCCAGTGAGAACCCCGAGAAAGGAGCCAAAAGAATCACTTAAGTGTGCGGAAAGGGGTCGCCCAGTCGTTGTTTCGGCCTGGCCAACACACACTCCTGCCGCAGGTTGCTACAGACAGAGAGAGAGAGAGCAAAGGCGCAACAGTGGCACAACAGATCCGATACGATACGATCTCCGCGATCCATTTCGTTCCAAAAATCTCTCTCTTTTTCTTTCCCTCTCTGGCTCTCTAAAAAAGAAAATACCTTAAAACCAGTTATTTTTTTTAATGTATTGAAAGTAGAGGAGGAGAAGGCAGCAGCAAGAATTGAAGTTGAAATGAAGTGCTCTCTGTGCACCTATTTATGTATATGTGAGATACACACACATAGATACATCTAAGTATCTATGTGTGGTAAGATTGAATGTTGCACAGTGCAGAAGCTGCTGTGCCGATGCATTCAAAAAAGGAGTAGCTGCGCTGCCGCTGCTGCTGCCACTCCACAGATACAGATACTTTTTGACTTTAATTGCCATTCGCATGAGTGCAACAGAGACAACTCTATGAGCTTATGTGCCTATGTGTGTATGTGTGTGTGTATCTTTTAGAGTTATACATTATGGTCGTGCCGAAATGAAATACAGCCAAAACACACACAAACACAAACATACAGAGAAGCTACAGCCGAAACCGAACTACAAAAAAAATTTGCATATAAACAAAAGAGCCGATAAGAAAGCAATGCCAGAACCTGATCGAAACAGAACACCCCAATCCATATTCCAATCCGAGCAAACAGAAGACGAAGTTTAGATACCCTATGCAATAAATCCAATCCATCCATATGTATTAAATATCATTAAGAACAGGCTTTTTTTGTTCGTTTTAATATATGTATAGGGGGGTTCCTAAACGGCTAATTTCCACAAATGATCTGGCTATTTTTAAAAGTTAAATATATCTCTGAAATAATTTCGAATGCGAGACACTAGTTTGCAAAGATAAGCTGCTCCTTCATTCAGATCGTTATGGCATAAGTGATGCCCTTTTTTTCTTCTCTTTATTTCAACCTTTCGATCACTTTAAATTCGAATATACCTTCTCCAAGGGTACAAACAAACTCAAAAAATCACGAGAAACCAGAAAGCAAATTGAGTTTTTGGGTTTCCAGATTCAAGTGTTGGACAAAGTGAAATTTATGCGTGGGTTGACAAAAACCTAAAGAAGAAAAAAAGCTATCATATACCGGTTCTGTAGAATACAGTTCTTGAAATGAGATGAAATATTCGTGGATTGTTGTGGCATGCTGTGGGGTTGGGGTGGAAGGTTATTCAACCTATGTACATGCGAGCGAGAGAGAGAGAGAGAGAGCTTAGCGAATAGATTAGATTAGATTGGATTGCACAACAGAACTGAGTACACACAAGACGCAAGACGCAAGATACTGCCCCGTACTCCAAGTCACATTGAGAGATGTGCTGTGCTATGCTGTGTTCTTGGTACACACACAACACAACATCCAACATTCCACTTACTTAATTGTAAGTGCGGCTTGTTCCATGATAACGACGAGCCCAACCCATGGGAGGAAGTGGAACTACATATGTGGTTGCTGAAACTAATTTGGAATATGTCATGTCTGTCTGGTCTGGTCTGGTCTGTCCCGTCCCTGTGCCAGATAACGCACACTGAGACAGTGGAGGAGAGGCAAACATATACATATGTACATATGTACAGGGGCAGGGGCACATTGATTTCATTTCATCATTCTCTCATTTGCTTATTTTCTGTTGCAGTTAGCTTTGTTGCAGCAGCACTCGTACCACCACCAACACCACAATCATGGCTGTCTTTGGCATGGTCTCGGCCGTGTCCGGCTTCATCAAGATACGATATCTGCTGGACAAGGCGGTCATCGATAATATGGTATTCCGCTGCCACTACAGGATCACAACAGCCATACTCTTCACCTGTTGCATCATTGTTACGGCCAACAATCTCATTGGTAAGTTAGCACCTTCTGCACACCCAACCCCGCCAAAACCATTATTAGTGCATCTATGCAACTGATTAACACATGTGGGGGAGACCGACCTCCTTCTGCTATTTGCGCTTACAATTGCAGCAATATTGCTAATGCAGCACTAAATGCGAGTATCGTCGTATCGGTTGTTCCACTTCGTTTCGATACGTTTGAATTTTGACATCCGACTCCACACAGAAAACACACACAAAAGAACGAAACTCGTGCAAAGCTTTCACAAATTGCGACCGCAAAACACGTTCATCGGATTTCAGCATAAAGCCATTTATATGAGTCATTCCCCTCCTCCTTCGAGACTCCGCAACGGGTGGTTGTCTGCCTTCTGACTCTGACTCTGACTCGGACTCGGACTAGACGGGCGTGAAAATCAATGTATCTGCGACTCAATTTGAGAGACAGAACGAAAAAGAGTTCCCACGAACATAAAATTTGAGGATTTGCGAAGGAACATTGTTAAAATAATCACTTAAGATATTTAAATTCGTTTTATTACTAATAGTAAACCGATTTTGTATGCAGTTTCGTGTGTCATCATACCGTATCAGAAAGCTTTTGATTACTGGTTATTTTCAATGCATACAAATGGATTTATTTTTATTCTAGAGTTCTTTTCTGATAATTTCTTATGTAACAGTTCAATTTTTGTATTCACTTGAACATAAAACGAGAGAACAGTAACACAATTATACTCATAGATACTCGTATATACGTATATTCATGATTTATTCTGCCAAATCGCTTTTTTAATCCCTTTCTGTTCAGAGTGAGCGACTTTTATAACCATTTCAAACAGAATTAAACCTGATCCCAAAAGCACTGCTTCTACAACGAAGCTTCAAGCCAAATATTTGTGCATTAAAAGAAGTGCTCTAAAAGCAGACTGTGTGTGTGTGTTGTGTGTGTGGCAGAGTCACAGTCAAATATTGACTGACGGTTAGTTTCTGGGAATTCCCACTCCCCCCTCTCCCCACAGAAAACCACTGACTTTCCTTCCTCTATCTATGTACGAGTATGTACGTGTATATTTCACTTTGTTTCTATCTGTTTGCCCCCAAAACTGACGGCAGAGACAAAGTTAATGTTGAGATTAAAGTTGTGGCGCACCCAAAAAAAAAAAAAGAGAAAAATGTTGCATGAGGTGCCCTTGTTGTGGTTGGGGAATATTTCTCGACCGCATTTGTCTGTCGACCGCACCCACCATAGACAAATTGTGCAGCAAACGAGAGACACAGAGGGGGAGAGAGAGAGAGAGAGAGAGATTGCCCTGTAATGGCACTTGACAGTTGACGAACGACATTCGAGGCTGAGCCCGTTCCGCGGTGGATTCCCACTTGATTTGAATTTATGGCGAGGTCATATTTATATAAACAAATATCTTGTAAAATTATCTCTGATTGCAGGCGATCCCATAAGCTGCATCAACGATGGCTCCATACCAATGCATGTGATCAACACATTCTGCTGGATCACCTATACGTTCACGATACCCGGACAGCAGCACAGGCAGATTGGTACGGATGTCGCAGGGCCAGGATTGGGGAATGAATATGGCCAGGAGAAGCGCTATCACAGCTACTATCAGTGGGTGCCATTTGTGCTGTTCGCTCAGGTGAGTGGCCCCCCCACAAAACACACAAAAAAAAAAACCCGACTCTAACTCTCTTTCCTCTCTAAGGGTCTCATGTTCTATATTCCCCATTGGATTTGGAAGAACATGGAGGACAATAAGATCCGCATGATTACTGATGGTTTGCGTGGAATGGTCAGTGTCCCAGATGACTATCGTCGGGAGCGGCAGGATCGCATCCTCAAGTACATTGTGAGCAGTTTAAATACCCACAATGGCTACTCCTTTGCCTACTACATCTGCGAGCTGCTGAACTTTGTGAATGTGATTGTCAACATTTTCATGGTGGATAAATTTCTGGGCGGTGCTTTCATGTCCTACGGCACGGATGTGGTCAAGTTCTCGAATATGGATCAGGATAAACGCTACGATCCGATGATTGAGATATTCCCAAGGCTCACCAAATGCACATTCCGTAAATTTGGTCCCAGTGGCTCTCTACAGAAGCACGATACGCTCTGTGTATTGGCTCTGAATATTCTCAACGAGAAGATCTATATATTTTTGTGGTAAGTGGAACGGATTGAATGGTTCTATTTTGTGTGACTTTTCTTCAAGTTCTTCCTTTTGTTGCTTCTTTCACTCCAGGTTCTGGTTCATTATTTTGGCCACAATTTCGGGGGTGGCTGTGCTCTACTCATTGATGGTGATCATGATGCCCACCACCCGAGAGACGATCATCAAGCGTTCGTATCGCTCTGGTCAGCGCAAGGAAATTGCTGGTCTTGTCAGGCGCTTGGAGGTATGACGACTCCATTCACCCCTTGTCATTTGAGAGCTCATCTTTTATATATTTCCCTTACAGATTGGTGACTTCCTGATCTTGCATTTCCTCAGCCAGAATCTCAGCACGCGATCATATTACGATATGCTGCAGCAGTTGTGCAGCCTTCTTGGCGCCTCACGCACCCCATCGGCCCCATCGACACTGGAAATGAATCCCATCAGCCATCCCATCTATCCGCCAGTACAGAATTTTGCCGGCGGCAAGGAGACGGAGACATAAGACGGAAGAGTCTCCCAAGCAAACGGAGTGACGCTTCTGAACAATGATTTCAATGATTTCTCAATAATATTTGTAGGCAGAAGAGAGAGAGTGGCAGGAGGAAAGAAGAGTCGAGTCGTGTGTCGTGTCGTGTTTCCATATCTAGAACTAAGACTGTTTCGAGCTACTTTTTGGATGAATCAATTAAATAATAATTTTATGCGAAATTAATATAGCAAAATTGAATGAAAATACATTTTTAAGAGACAGGTGCAGACACACAGATACAGAGAGTACAGAGACAGAGAGAAAGAGTGCAATTTGTAGGTTGAAGATTGATGAATAATGATGGTAGATTTGATGTGGAGTATAAGAGATCCCATCGTTAACAATGATGCGCCATTTAAATATACATTTAAGTTTAACAATTAGATCGATTCCATACAGAAGACAAACGAACAGAAGTATCAGCTACATTTATCGCTCACGCACGCTCACGAAACGTTGATCTATTCTATATTAAAAATTGTAGTAATCGAATGATATATGATATTGTATATGTATACATATATGATGAGTATATATGCAATGCTCTCGCTATTTTGTCCTAACATTTAGTCTACAAATATATATCGTTAATTTTAAGGAATTTTGTTTATAACAAAATTATTGTGATTATTGCTAGAAAAGAACACATTTTACATAAAAGAAACAAAAGCAAAAGAGAACCCAAGAAAGCGCTATCCCAAGTTCAAAGTTGTAATAAATATTCTATATACAATTTCAGACAAAAAAGACGCTCCAAAATTCGTACATATGATTAATATATATACAACGGTTAGAAAGATTGCTGATGGGTGTGGAAATATTGTGTGGGAGAAAGGCCTTGAATCTCATGGGAAATATGCTTCTAATCTATTGTAGAAATGATAAGCAAAATACGTAACAAAGTTCTAAGACTATTCCGCACTGAGATTAATATTATTCTTTATCCATTTCTAAAAAATTGTTTTACGTTTTTAGAACATTTTCAAGTATAAGCAGAAGATATGCTGGTTCCATTAGCAGCACATTTGAATTCGCAGATTCCTCATGAATGAACTATAATTCATTCTACGAATTCCTGAACAATTTGACTCCATATTTAACTAGAACCCAAAGATTTGCGAAATTATAAACAATTGAGCGACTTCACATAATTGAGATGCAACAGCTTTAATATTTCATCGTTAAAAATCCCGTGTCCTTTCACTTATGGGACATTTTTACAGCAACTTAGTGCCATTTCCATGATTTGATAATTTGACAATCAACAGCACTGTTTCCTCCGAATATAATAGATAATTAAGGCGAATTACTTACCGATTTCCCCAGTCAATTTTGGAGACCACTACCATTTGCAGCTCCAGTGTCTGATCCTGGGTCATGGTGGCACTCAAAAGTTCCCGACGACTCTCCAATATGGAGAACATTACTTTGCGCAGGGTCTGAAATTTATAAGTCTCGCGATCCTGCAAACAATGGGATATACTCGTACATATAACTCGAATATCAATCGAATAGGGGAATATCGAATTTCCAGAACACTTACCACATAGAGGCGCTTCCAGATCTCGGACCATTCTCGCAGAACCTGCGTACATTCGGCCACCACGGGATCAATCTTCGACAGATCCTTGATGTGTATGTACGTCTTGGGGAAGAGACCAACGGCACGGGACTTGCGCGGACAGGAGCCGCGATACCAGTGCGTACATTCCTCCACAATGTCCACAGAGTCGCCCACATCCAGGGACAGGCCGAAGCGGACATCGCCATGCCAATTGTGGATGGCTAATGGAGGGGCAAAGAGATGGAAAAGATGGGAAAGTTTGTCTTAGATCAAGTTTGAAGTTACAACCAGTTGCGTTTTTTCTCTCTTTTTGGCCATGACATTGCCCCAGGGGTGTGGCATGGTGTGGTGTGGCAATTAAAGTGCCCCCATGAGTGGCCACTTGAGCATGCCACGAGTGGCACAGCAACAATAAATACTTCAACTATAAATAGGCAAAATGGCTATGAAAAGAAAATACGATGTACGATGTATATGCGTCCATTGGGGGATGGGTGGAACAATGGAGGAGCAGCACTTGGCAATTGAACACTTTGATTCCATATCGAAGCAGGAGCTGGACGATGGAAAATGGAAGAGATGGGCTGCTGCTGCTGAAGTTAAGAGCTCAAGATGGATATGAATGTCGATGTGGATATGGATACGGATGGATGCAGCGCCAGGCAATGAAAGCTGCTCCGCAATGCTGGATGTGTAGCGGCTATGGAAACCTACATATGCACAGACAGAATTTATGGAGAGCTCTCTTTAGGGAAAATGGTAAATAATGGAAATGAATTAGATCTCTTGAGCAGTCAGTAACGATTCAATCATACTTTTTCGACAAAGAATGAGTGCTATAGGGGAGTCTCATTTTCATAGCTAAATATATAATCTTAAACCGAAGAATTTGACACAAAATGTTCATATTTGGTTCAAGTTTCTGAGTGAAAGATAGGATCAAAGATAGTTGAATCCAATTTATGGAAAACAAAGATAACAAAAACGTTTTTTCAAGGCACAATTCTCTAGTATTTCTGGCTATAATAATTATCGGATAATAACAATTATTGTAAATCTTGGAGATACATACATATGTATGTATTTTTTCCAAAATTCTAAAACACAATAGAGCCTCTAAAGAGTCTCTAAACAGTATGAGAGTGGGGACTATTCAATCCAAACTTGTTTTAATTGATTTATTTATGAAGTGATTATCCACTTTAGCATTCTAACAATGATAATAAATTGCTGTACTACAAAGATTTATGCCTCTAGAGTACACTTGTAAATCGATAAAACCAAGGGGTTCCGCACAATCTTACTTGAAAACTCGTATCTTAAGTTCTTTTTACTGACTTTTCTCTCAGTGTACCAATTACAAATGCACGTCACACAGTCTGTAGTCTGAGGAGGCGCCGCCAATGGGTGGAGGAACTTGGGCCATGCTTCTAGGGTGGTGATACTGATGGCGATGGCGATGGCAAATGGTGGTTCTGCTGCTGTTGCTGCTGCTGCTGTTGCTGCTTGTGTCTCTGTGTGCTGCATGTTGATGTGGCAGTGTGTGCTCCCTTCTTGTTGAAAGACAAACGAGCGAGCAACGGCATGAGCATATCAACGAAAGGAGCTAATAAAACGCACGCCCAGACAGACAGACAGACCGACAGTCAGTGGGGGTTGGAGTGGGTGGCTGTTGAGTATGAGATGGAAAATGAAATGCTTCAGTGGCATGAAAATGGGCAAACTGCTTCCTGTTGTTGCCGCCTGCCGCCTGCCGCTGAAGTTCCCGGCAGCTCTCTGGTGTGTCTGTTTTTATGGGATTTGTTGAAGAGTCTCTCCCCTTTCTCTCCATCTCCATCCATCCTTCAACCGCCTGTAACCGGCTTCAATTTGTGATTCTGTAGCCGGATTTTAAATGAATTCTGAGAGCAAGAGATGCTAAATAGCAAAAATTGTATAAATTAAAATGCCAGTTGAAGATCCTCTACTCTCTGCCGCTCCTCGCCTCTCCGGCGGCACTTCATCTTGCCTCCCCGGCGGCAGGCAAACACACTCCGGCAAATGAGAGTACATTCCGTAGAGAGGGCCGGGGCTGCTCTGCTGAATAGGCAGAATGCCATCCAAGCGTTTCCACTATTTGGGTCACTCACATTAGCAAAAAAGGCGTCAGCATGGCAAGCGCCCAAGTGCGCCCAGAACACAGTCCAAGCCACACACACCCAATGCCCCAACAGAAGCCCATCCCCATCCCATCCCATTCAAAGGCATAGCCCTGGGAGCAGCCATAACCCTATCCGTATCCTTAGACCCCATCCATTCCAACCCTCAACGAGGAATACTTTTAATGAGCATTTAGCTGGCTCTCAAAATTTAATATTAAATTTCATTAAATTGGCATGGAGAGTACCCCCCACATTTAATTACTTTTATGATGAATGCATCATATCATATCCCAAAAGGCTTCCTCTCCACGGGAGCTTACATCATTCCAAGCCAACAAAAAAAAGAAATAAGATAGGGATATACAGGCGTAAAAAGAGGATAGAGGGACACAGAAAGAACTAGGCAGAGGACTGAAAGGGAGGAGATAGATTGGCACAGACTCAAAGAGAGGGAGAGAGAGAGAGAGTGAACACAATGCACACTCCACCAACAGTTCGCAATGTCAACAAAAAGCGTATTTAAATAGAAAAGTCGTTACGGCAAGTGCATGCAAAAAGGATAGAGAGGAAGGTGGAAGGAGGCAAAGAGTGAAGAGTATATCAGAACAAAAGAGAGCAAAACAAACGCAGAGAAAGAGAGCGGAGAGGACCCAGTGGACGGACAGGCGAAAAATAAATTTAAATTAAATGAAAAAAGGAACTTCGACGCACCGAAGTTTATACACCTTTTAATGTTTACACATTTAAGGAAAATTCCGTAGAAAGGACTCGTTACACAGTTTCTATATCCATATACATATACATATGTGTGCATTTTAGTGTGTAAATCTCTAAGATACAAAACCTTGTAGCTCTTACATGTCGTATGTACATTTATACGGATGAGCTATACCCCTTATATATTTTATTTATCTTTTCTCTGCGCTGCAAACATGCTCTCATAATCGTAGTCCCCTTTGCGAAGGGTATAATGGAATAGGAGAAAAGGGGCAAGGCTTCCCTGTACTACTACAAATGGATTAAATGAGCATGCGGATGTGCCTGCGCCGTGGGGCCCACAAAGGGGGTCTTGTGAAGGGCGGCGAGCCATCTTCACACTTGACCCTCCCTACTTCCTCTACCGAGGCTCGACACTCAAGTGGCACTCAGTGTTGGAGAGGGAGAGGAGGCTCAAGAATTTAATTAATTAATTGTCTTATAACCCAACAATACGAGGTCGCCCACAATGTGGAACTCTCTTTGGCAGAGGAAAGGGAAATCATCAGTAAATTTGGGTCAAGTGGTGGGGTTTTTTGTGTAAACTTAAACTCGGTTTAGGATATTACTTTAATCATGAAAAAGAAAAAAGAAAAAAAAAAGATTATTCCACACTAAACTGCGGCTGTGCATTAGCAGAGCAAGGTTTCGATCCTCGGACCTCTGGGTTATGGGCCCAGCACGCTTCCACTGCGCCACTCTGCTTGCTGTACATCCGTCGGCAAGAACATCATATTGTGCGAAATTGTATCCGCAATACGTATTTGCATATACAGTACATAACATAAGTGTGATATCTTATCTACAATATGCGGAACATAATGTTAGCCAAGCGAACATTTTTATCTAAAACTTATAGATTATCGCAAGATAATTGATCCATTGAGTGAAATTCAATTGAATTTCAATAAAAAGAAAAACTAAAACTAATAAAAAAGAATAAATATTAAATTAATTATAATATTATTATTATTACAGTACTTTTATAACTCTAGGATGTATTTTTCATTTGCACCGGGCAGAGAAATTGAGTGGAAGATCCCTGTATGTTAAGCCTTTGAATGAAGTTTAATGAAGCACTTTAGTGGATCCTATCCTCCAATCCCTAGCGAGGAGGGCTTGTATTAAAAAACAAAAAATATATGTAAATACCAAATGAATGAGGGGATGTCCGATTTTCAATTAAAATAATCGTATTCCGAGTTAAAAAATCTACTTCAACTATATGAGTGCAATAAGCTGTTTTTTTGTTCTTTACTATCATTATAGTTTTCGCATATCTTATCAGTGTGCACAAAATAAAGTGGATTATGAAGGGAACTCCCCTTCCATTATACTAAATATTTTGAGTAAAAATGTACATCTGTTTGTAGCAGGAAGCCTGACCCAAATGTCAATCAGATGTCATTGTCATTACCAGTGTCTGAACAATAGAGCTGCCTGAATGTCTGATGCTGTCAAACTAGTTCTGAGGCAGTGTCTATCCGAAAAAAAAAACAAATGAAAAGTTTTGCACTCCATCTACAGCCTCATCTCCCTCTCTAACAGCGGGCGAGAGATCTCTCCATTGTCAAGTGGTCTTTGCGACATCAGTCATATGTGGTTATACCCTTAATATGTATCTTTATATGTACGTATGTATAGCTTTTATGTATATAAAGTATATATTTTGTGGCTGTACGTGTAAGCATGTTGATGGGGCATGGCAATGTTTGCATATTATATGCATTTTGCTTCTGTCATTTTTGCTGGCATTATTGTAATTAAATGCATTGCATTTGCCACAGAATTAAGTGCAATTTTTTTGTACAAGTGTTGTTTGTTTTTGTACACCCTCTGAGGGGGTATTATGACGTTCTGCAGATACCTACAGCGCAGAGCAGAGCAGATCAGTGTAACATGATCGGTGGAAAACCAATTCTTTGAGAACAACCAATCTCTATTATCTGATGTTTCATGGTCTTCTTATTAGCATGATAGCGTAAATATGGCGACGGATCTGCAAGAGGGTACAAAGCTCCGGCACCCCAAAGCGGGAGACTTTCCTTCTTGTTTGTTTTGGTTATGAAATTGGTATTCAAAATCCACATTGCCGTCCACATGGTGCACATTTTGCGCTGACTATTTGTTTGCTCATTTTTCACCCAAATGGAGCTTAATTCAGACGAATCAATAAGCGGTAATTGTTTTCCCTCCTTTGCCCCATGTTTGGATCAGGCCCGGAAGCCGCATTAAACACACACTTGTCAATTATTTGTACAATATTTACTCGTCATTTCGGTAATTATTTAAACACTTTATCAATGGAAGGGCGTATAGTGCCAGCAGGTAAGGGCGTATATAGTATATAAGTTTTCTTATCAAGGAGTGTAACCCACCAGTCGAGCCCCTCTTCAATGCATTTCATTCCCTGACATTAACATAAATCAGACAACGGATGGGTGGAAGTGGAAGTGGGTTTGGGTTTGGGGACACTTTTCCCATCCGGAAATGTGACCGATAATGCCGTCAAAATGGGGGAAATGTACGATAGATATTATTTATCAGTGTGTGCGTGTGCTTGGGTTGTTAATCACACAGTGTCCCTCCACCCAAATGGCGATTCATGAATAAATCGTTAAAGACGAATTATGGAAGTACAAATCAAGTACCGAAATGGAGATGGAAATGGAAGAGGGAATGTTTTATATGTACGCGCACAAGTCACACACGGAAACAGAAACAATGTAAGAACGGCAGATACGAGTGACTCGAACAATTTTATACTCAGTAATCTCCCGAAATAGTCTTTTAGCAAATATTAATATTACTAGGTAAGGAATTTCTGGCCGAATATCAGACAATTCTATCTGTTTTAATGATTATAATGCGTAAAATTTTGGTAACTGGTAAATAAAACTGGTACATATTCATATGAACATATATGTGCAGTTTAGCTATAATTTCTTCAGTTATTGCCGCAATTTATATTCTTTGATGGTTGCACGCGACCAGTTCGGTAACACGTGTCATGCGTCATGCGGCAACGCCCCTCGGTCGGTTGGGCGGATCTACGCCAGTCATCGCACGGAACCTTTTTATTGGATAAAACGAGTTGTTCTTTTATCATAGAAGAATGCTCTAGTGTTCAAGCCTCGAACATCTCCGGGCGCGTACGGATTAACTACACTCTAATGATCATCCTAAGCAAGGAAATATATTTCAAGGGTACCAAAGGTCGTCTTTTACTTTCATTGACACAACGGCTATTACATGCCCTTGTCCTCCACAATTACAGGGTATTCAAAAAACGAAAAAACGTTGCCGTCAAGCATATTAAACAATGGAATGGAAATGAATCAATTTTATGCGCACTCATGTTCACTTGTGTGAGTCTTTTGTGTGTTTCGTGTGTGTGAGTGTGTGTTCTGGGGAAGGAAGCGCCTGCACAAATTTGTGCGCGCACAACTCAAACTCATCGCAACTCCGGACCGGACCGGGCCGCTCCATTGGCCAAATGCATAAAATGAATATTAAATTAAAGTTGAAACTGAAATTGCCGCAGCGACAGCGGAATTCACTGGAAAAGGCAGACCGACAGCAGCCCCAGCAGCAACATCCGGTGAATAGACTGAAGCCGAGGTAGCGGCAAGGCAGGGCTTCCCATCTGTCTAAAACTTTTGCCAAAAAATAAATAAAAAGTTGCTGAAACTAAATAGCAAAGATTCAGATACAGCTTCAGCTACAGTTTTCACATGGAACTGACTATGCGGGCCAGGCCGAGGGTTGGACCTGATGCTGGGATTCTGTGAGAAGGTGGGTCGGACTCCACTGTAAAGTTGTCGCCCGCCAGTGTGTGTGTACTCGACTGACTGCGCAATTGAGGAACAGCAACAAAAAAAAACGATATGCAGCACAACGGTAAGATAATTACTAAAGCCACTAGAGGCAGAAGGAAAGAGAGCAAATAAGGATGGGCATCTAGGGGAAGAGTCAAGAGAACAAGGGAAAATTTAGAGAAAGAGACAAAGAGTGCGCTGAGCGCTCTGGTAATGAAGTCATTGCCCAGCACGTGGCTTTGCAGCAGCAGAGGAGGAGGAGTATGAGGATGACAACGGACAACGGGCATTGTGCAAGGTTAGGGCGTTGGCTTGACAGCGCCCCATAGCGCCGTGCCGTGCCGTGCTGCACTAATGATGTTATCATGGACCTTCCCGTTGAGATGTATGATGGAGTGACTGATTGATTTGTGTAAACTTTGACCGCTTCTCATGTCACTCGCTGATGTCGGGTCGGGTATTTAATGTAGAGCAAGCAATCAGCAAGCAAAAATAACCACACAATGAACTGCCTTGACAGACGATCGCTTTGGGAACTGGAACAACAACATCGGAGCAAGAAAATATTAATAGATAGATACAACGAATATAAGACACCCTAGAAGATAGCTCTATATTCAACTTTCAGTCTTGAAACGAAATATAATCGTATAGGAGACATACAGAGAACTACATCGGTGATTATTGTGTTCCCAAATCTACAATGCATGCAGCACAATCTGCATAGTTTCTAGAACAGTAGTAGATAGGTTTATTCTAAATTTATATTTGATTTCTTTAGAACCTGTATGATAGTCGGCATAAGTTTTAGTTAGGGTATAACATGCAACATCATCAAGAACTGGCGCTTATCTGGACAGAAACCCATTCAAGCAGCACAATGAATGAAACTTGGCACAGAATCTTCTTTCTGCTGGTCGACAAGAGTAGAGGTTGCCCCCTGCCACTGTCCCCTGAAGTAATTTGTTAAGCGTTGCCATTGATGCGAAAAGTGTGACGAACACGAAGATAATGTGAAAATGCAACAGAAAACAAAACAAGTGACAGAAACAACAAAAACAGTTGAATACAAGAAATTTGAACAAAGAAAGAGAGACAGAGAGCAGGAGCGAGAGTATTCAAGATCTACTTATGCTTTATGCTTTCGCACTGTAGTAGTCCAGCTCAAGATGATTCCCTCTCTCAAACTTTCTTCCTCTCTCACTAGCCGCATCCTAGGAATGCATACAACTAGCTCTTGTATGAACGCTCTCAGGAAATCCTTCACCTCACACAAATACACCTCGGTTTAGCTCTTATCAAAAGTGGATTTTCCTTCCAAGTAAATATATAGCCAACACTGGCAGCCGCAAAATTGTGGCCACTGCCAGCACTCCACAGCAACGTGCAACGCACAAAACTGTAATTAGAAAAGCATTTAAATTGGCAACACCTGGCACAAAGGCAATTGGCAACGCGACAGCAACAGTGTGGATTGGATGGCCGGGAGGGGGCGACGATTGTGTGGGAAACGTCGAGTGGTTGCCCACCGGAGCGGGGGAAGGCGACGACTGTGAGGGAAAAGGAACTTATGTATGTATGTATGTATGTACGTATAAACACATCAAATCGCAGCGCGGCTATAACAAACATACAAGAAATCTCTTTGAGCAAGACGACCGGGCGGAAGGACGGATGATGATGATGCTACAGCCGACTCGTGTGTATATAAAAATAAGCTGAAAAATCGCTTTTCCTCCCCTGGTGCCCAGTGAGGGGGTGGTTGTGGGTCGGTCGGTTGTCTGGATGCTGCTTTCCGGCGTTTCGCGGAAAAAACTGTGAATCAACGCGGAAGGCAACAACAATAATACAGAACAGCAACGTAACGGTGTAAAAGCGCACGTGACGTATACCCCTCCCCCTACCACATGCCATCCCATCCTGCTGTGCTCCCCAGTGGGGGTGGGTGAGGACAAGGTACATCAAGTAAAAGGTAAGGCAATTCGGAAGAGCGGCACCCAAGGAGCGGGCTCTGCATTACCGTTTGTTAAATTTACCCGTGGGGTACACAACCCCAGAAAACTTCTATCCTTTTGCACAATTACAATACTAACCAACTCCGTATTTGTTGTTCGATGGTATCCACATTTCGTTGTCTTTGCTGTTGTTCCTGCTACTGCTGCTGTTCCTGCAGCTGCTGCTGTTGTTGTTGTTGTTGGTTGATGGCGAAAATCCAATTTTGCAATATTCCCAAAAACCTTATACCGGCCACTCCCTATGTGATGGTGGGGGCCCTCTTCCCTCTCAGCAATACGTTGTCAGCGAAATTCCTTTTTATATGACAATCGGATGATGGCAATCGCACATTTTGAGGCGGAAGATTTGCTTTGGATTTGCATTTAATTATTGCTTATTTCTTATCCACCATTTTTACACACACACACGCGCATATACACACAGCACGGCAACTTTCGCTTTTGTTGTTGCCTTGCCTGCAGCCCTCTCTCGCGCGTGCACTCTCGTATTCGCACAGTGGGGCTGGATACTGGCTGCTTGATTAATAAACTAACAGGCAACAACAACTGCCACTTGTCTACGACATTGCTGATTGGAGTGGAGCCCCAGTGCAACAAAGTTGATGATTATCCGCCACTTATGCTCTTCTCCCGTACGAGAGTGTGTACGCGCGGTGCAAGGGAATGGGTGGTGCGGGTATGGGATTGGTTTGATGTCGTCTCAAAGTGGTTGCTTTTGTTGCGTTTTTCACGGACCCGCACACTAATCAAGAAAATCAATAAGAATTTTGGATGATTCTCCAGCCGATTGTCGTTGTGGTTTGTTAACTTTGTTGGCTCTTTTGTTGACTTTAATATTGTTGTTGTTGTCGCCCACTCGCCTTGCGTCGGCGCTATATTTAATTATTGCTTGTTTCGCATAAAACGCTCCCGAACGAACGTTCAATTTATCCGCTGCTATTTATTTGTATATGTTTTCTAAACGCGCTCCCGCTAGTTGGTTGATATTTTAAATTTAATTCGCATAATCGCTTTGTTTTGATCAATTCCTCTTCACCCTGCTTCGTCTATTAACCGTTGCAGGAACGAAATTAAAGGGAGAATTATTAACCGTTAATTTTATCCGGCCGCACTCCCACCGAATCTCAAAAATCTCGAAGTATGGATACTTGTGTCTGAATTATCAACGGAAAATTCTGAACTCAGAAAAACTACGACAAAGTCGCGTTGTTTACGTCCGCGGTTGCGACTTTTAGTGTTTTTGTTTTGTTTGCGCCGCAAGGTGTGTGACGTATGACGTCACAAAATTCAGAGCTTTCAAGAAAAATACCCACCTTACCGTGGGGGATTTTGTGCTTTCGCGCACCCATGGTATATTTAGTCCGTCGGGGCTAGGTAGGTCCTTAGGAGGCCCTTAAAAAAAGTTTGGCGGTCTTAATACTGGGCCATACCTTGCCATGACCCAGTCGAAAGGGAGCACTCAAACCGCTCTCCCGACTCATTTTTGCGTTTCTTAGGGCTAGAGGTGTCAAACCATCGAGAGCACAATCGATAGTATCGATATTTTACTTCTAGCCTCTACTATCGACGGTTTTGCGACTATCATGATAGTATCGGGCTAAAAAAATTATTAATTATTAATTATTCATTTTTTTTTTTTTTATTTACTGGTTACTGGTTCTCGGTTTCTGAGGGCACTCGACAAAACAAATCAAGTTATTTTTCCAAATATTAAGACACATTTCAAATTGACCGCCAAACTCAATTTAGCGCACCAAAAATACTGACATTTTTCGCTCTCAATTCGTGGAGAGTTTGCAAAACTCGCTCTCAATTCGTGGAGAGTTTTCAAAATTTTTATGTATCTATCGGATAAAATTATTTGTTTACGGCTGAGAGGGCCAACTATCTAGTAATATTAAACTGAATATCAAAATTGACGAATTTCATATCAAAAAATATCACGGTATGGCAGCCCGCAGCAACTACGAATTGCACGAGTCTGGCAACGCCACAAAACGACGACAAATTCGTCTTATGCTGTTTTTGTTTGAACCTTTTTATGTAAACAATGCAATAAAAAGGACTTCTGAAAACTTGCCAATCTCTTAAAAAATTTATGTATCTATCGGATAAAATTATTGTTTAGGGCTGAGAGTCCCAGCTAGCTGGTAATATTAGACGGAATATCAATATCGAGGAATATCAACGTCGAATGTTTTGAAAAAACAATCGATACTATCGTGATAGTATCGGGCTGAAATAATTATTAAAAAACCATTGAAACCTTTTATCCATTGTAAAAATTAGATGCCACCTGTCGATTTTTTTTACAAATTTGTCTTCGTATTTTATAGCAGCCAATCCAAACATATCAAAAGCGCAACGACTGTAGCTCGATACTATCATGATAGTCGCAAAACCATCGATAGTAGAGACTAGCAGTAAAATATCGATACTATCGATAGTGCCCTCGATGGTTTGACACCTCTAGTCTGGTCGCAGAACGGGGAAATTCCGTCTTTCCTTTTGATAAAGCTCGCTAATTTGTAAAAAATAAAAGAAGATGCCGCCGAAAAAAATAGCCAACGGTCCTGTTCAGGTAAGTGGATGCAACGCAAATTGTGTGCCTCAATGGAGGAGTTTTACGGAAATATTGTTGTATAGCTGCCGGCTTCCGTGGCAAAAAAAGGACAAAATCATTGCGTACTCTGCGCAGTCGTGGCGGAGCGTGTCTGTCAGCGTTGTGGGGACTTTTACTGCTCGAAAGAGTGCCAGATAATGGACTGGCAGCGCCACCGCTACATTTGCTTTCCGATGCCGGCTTTGGTTATGCCCAGGGCGTTTTCCATTCTCCAATGCCAGGAGGAGGAGCTGGCGCTGGACATTGCAAGTGTATCCAAGGCCGATTCGATTAAAGTGGCTGCAGCCGCCCCTATCCCTGGTAATAGCAATAGCAGCAATAAGGTTAGCAGCAGCACTAGCACCGCCAGCAGCTGCAGCACCACTCCAACTATAGGTGGTATTGCCGCTCAGATGGCTGCAGCAGACTCCAAAATCAGCAACCCGAGCCGGAGCCCGAGCACAAGCAGCGTCCTCTCGAACAACACCGCCAGCATTAAAATGAAAAATAAAATCACGACCCTGCCGACTGTGGTTATACCGCCCAGCAATAGTGTGGTCATCATCAGTGGATTTCGTTCTGCGAATCGTTGCTTTCTTCGTAGCGAATCCGCTGATCAAGCGTATTCCCAAGTATGCGAGAAGGTTCGTAAATGTTTACATAAACTCCCCTCCCATCCCCAAGTACTAACATTGTGTGCTTTTTAGGTCAATGCGCTGGGCAACGAGATGCCGAAAGTAAAGAATCTAAGAATACATGGCTTCGTCTTGGCCCTCCACAATGGTGCATTCCAGCGGGCCAAGGTTCTGCAGATACGCCCGAATAAAATTGCCAGTCTGCTGTTCGTGGATCAGGGCATAGTCAAGTTGCGCGAGGTGGAGTCCATGCGCGAAATAAGCGACGAGCTGCTCGCTCTTCCGAGCTTCTGTTTTCTGGTGCAACTCAAGGGCGTGGCCAATTATGCCATAAGCAACGATATCCTCGCCTTTCTCTCACAGTTCGATGGTGAAAAATTCATCATGCACCACGACTCTTTCAGCAAGAATAACACAATCACTGTGGAGCTTTTCAATGTGAAAACGCAAAAGTCCCTGAGTGAGATGGTTCGGGAATTTTGCTCCACGAAGAAGGTGTACGATGGCAAGAATGTAAACCCAAAGGTGGAGAAGATTGAGAGTGGTGCTCCGGCAGCGGCGAAGCCTCGAGAGGAAAGCCCGACTGTGGAAGCAAAGGTTTATGCCCTTCCGCCCACAGTGGCGTTGCCTGCAGAACCATTGAAGCAGCCAGAGACAAAGAGCGAACCGATCATAGATCTGAAGCCAACTGAGTCATCTGTCGCGCCTGCAAAGGAAGAGCTAAAAGTAGAGCCAAAATCCGTTGAAGTACTCCAATCAGAATTAAGTGCTTCAGCTGCAACAGCAGACACAAAAATTGATGTACTCCCCCCAGCTGGAACAGCAGAAGTCCTCAAACCCATTGGGGCTTCGGGGATCCCAGCCACTAAAGTCAATGGAGCTGAAGAGGCCAACAATGAACCGATTCTAGAACCAGTGAGTTTTATTCGTTGGTTGATTTCCATTCTACATTTGCCTTTGTTTTTCCGCCTGTAGCCGTTTGATATGAAGCGTTTGAGTGTTAGTGACAAGGCGGGAATCGATTTATACATTGTGGATAATTCAAAAATCGCTCGTGGCATGTTTGGGGCCTTTGATCGTGTCTGTGCCAGTGATTTTGGACGTTTGAATACAGCCATATCAAAGATCAGCCCATCGAAGCCTTATAAGCCAGTGTAAGTGATCAATTTACATTGGATATAGCCATACATATGTTAATATCTGAACTGATGTTGCTCTTTTCGCACACGCATACACACAGTCTGAAGGAATATGTTTTGGCCAAATTTGAAAACAGTTTGTATCGTGCAAAAGTGGAACAGATCAAGCAGATGCCACAGACAGCGCAGACAGTTTACCGCATGACATACCTGGACTACACGAACATCGAAGATGTAACCGAGCAGGATATATGCCGATATCCGTTGGATATTAATTTTCCTTGCATTACCAGCATTTGCATGATTGAAGGTTTGCCTATGGCTGCATGATGGTTAGACAGTTGTGTGTTCTAATGGGATTTCTATTTGATTTTCGCACAGATTTCCCCCATAAGCCGAATGCCGAGCAGATTGCGTACTTGTCTGAGGTCCTAAAAGTACACGAAATCATTCACGTTGATGCCGTTTCCTATATGAAGAATGTGGCTTGGATCAAGTGCAGTGAGTTGATAAAAAAACTAGAGAAAATGTAGGGGACTACCCTACAAAATTTCAAATGCCAAATTTTCTCAGACTAAAACAACTCATATTCAGAATCATTTTAAAAAACATTTATATATAAATAAAATTGCATTAAAATAACAACATTAAAAGCTGTTAATACATTCATCTGTTTCCTCTGTTTTTCCTAGCGTTAAGCTGCCGTTGATTAAAGTTTTTTACATTAGAAATTACACACGAAATGAGGGGGAGGGGATTACAAAAAGAGCAGGGCATGCTGTTAGGATGTTAGCCATAGACATAGACAAAAAAAGCGGAGAGAGACTACAACGACAAAAGGCACTGTTTTGGTGTGGTGTGGATTGGCATGCAGCAGTCCCATGTTTGTCCTGGACTGCATTTAGACGTTCTTTTTCATTGTCATCTCGTGGGCAGTACGGAGGCGCCGCCGCAGCTCGTTCGGGAAGCGTTCGTAGCATTTTTTGCACACGGGCTTCTCGTCGTATTCATAGAACTTGGATTTCTGAGTCATTTTCGTGTCGCACACAGAGCAGGCAAAATGATGCACACACCAGGCTTTGTTCAGGGCCGTGAAAACTGTTTAAGGAAATGCAATTAACGATGAATGAAAGGAAATTCATTTGGGGGAGTTAATTTGCTCACCATCGCCGCCAATGACCTGGTTGCAGACAAAGCAAAGGTTGCCAAAGAGCTGATGGTAATGCGTCTCGCAGTAGGCCAGGCCACGCTTCTCGTAGTGCCGATGCCCCAGGAAGGGCTTCTCGCACTTGGCGCACACAAAGTGCTCCACATGCCAGTGCTTGCCCAAGGCAGTGACCACACGCTCCTCAATCGGCCGACGGCAGGCCCCACAAATGGGTATACCCATCTTATCATGGCAACGTAGACAATACAATTCATTCTGTGGGGGGAGATTAGGGGCAGCGCTAGGGCAAATCAATTGGAAAGACAGGCATCAGAGGTCTCACCATATCGTTGGCCGCCAGTCCTGGGCGACTCTTCACCTCTCGCGCCGTCGAATCCAGTTCAGTGCCGCAGGCCGTGCAACTGAAATGATAGCCATGGTAGACCTCGCCCCGGAAACGCAAAGGCTCCTCATCGATAAGGCCGCTAGGAAGATTCATTCGAAATTAGTTCAAAGTGTACCAAAAAAGTATCCAAAAACAGGTCCAGGACTTACTGGCATTTTTGGCATACATAGCGGCCGGTGATCTCTGCCTTCACCTTGGCATTGCACTCGTGGCAGAGGGCGCGATTCTGATTCTTGATGAAACCACTGTCGGCCAGCTCCTTGGCACACAACTGGCAGCGGAAGCATTGCGGATGCCAGCTGGCGGACATCGCCTTGATGACGCGTCCGATGACAAATTCCCCGCACTTGTTGCAGCAGGGGGCGAAGAGTACATGGAAGTCACGTTCGCAATACTTGCGGCCTTCGAACTCGTAGAAGATCCCATCCTGGAATGGTCGGAAGCACTGAGCGCAGCTGAAAAAAAATCACAACAGGAAATCGTGTATACAGAAAGGAATACAAAAGATGCAGCTGTGGGACTCACACAAAACACTGCGTATGCCAGAGCTCGCCATTGGAGTTGACAATCTTCTCGGTGGGCTCGAAGCCGTCGGCGCAACGCGTGCAATGCATTGCACCCAGCGACATGTTCACGGCCTGTACTCTGCAATGTCAGAAAAGTAGATGAGATCAGCATTAGTTTCCATCATTTCATAGCTCTAAAGTGGAGGGATTACACTTTAGCTTTGGAGTACATCATGGTTATGTTATGGCTTTATGGTTTTCGGAGTTGAAGCACAAATGGGAACACAACTTAAGGGCTGGGCATGGAGCGAGCAAATGGAGAGAATGCGGCCGGCCTTATCGTGGAAAGCCAATGTGGACTTGACTGACTGCTGAATCATATTTCAGACACACAATGCAAAGAAATGGAAAGGCTAGGGTGGAACTCTGGATACTCTTGCAGATCGATTTTTCTATGGGAAAACCACCTGAGCCATTCTGTGGTGTGTGAAATTTCGAGCATAAAAAAGACAGAGAATCTAATCCCTCTATAGTTTCAGAGATGTTTCCTTTTTTGGGGTTTTCAAAATCTGTAGAAAATTGTAATACCCTCTGCAAGGGTATGCAAGAGCTATGCCATTCCTTGGGGCTCGCGGGAGCTTTGCTTTCGGAATTTCAGTTGAAGTGCAAGCGTTAAAGTGTGCGGATGGATGGGGCAGTTTCCATCCCGTCGTTAGATTGGTTTGTTTGATGAATTAAATTGAATTCGGATTTGCCGCCAACACGCACACACACAGGCCCACTCGTCGCCACATGAACACACACACACACACAAGCAAATAGTAAACAACACAGCAGAGGCGGCAGGGTTTATAAATAAATTTGAATGTGCACATGACGTCATCGATGAAGTAAACATCTGGCGCAGTAGCAACACCAAAAGTGCATCTTTTGGGGGCTTGGGCGTACCGCAGATGGCACCATGGATGGAAGCATAGTTAATTTGCATATTGCGCAGCCTTAAATGGTGTTAAATTAGGATGTGTACGAGTCTTCAGCGAAGACGATGAATGAAGTGGGTCACTCTTCTGGGACCTAAGGTCGTGTGCTAGTGATGTAATTGCAGGACACAGGCGATGCGATGCCAAGGACGTTGAGACATTTTTGGGAATATTCAGCTTACTGCACGGGTGGCATTCTATCTGTTTAACTGGCTTTCACTTGTTGCACTTGCCCACGGCTAGCCAATTGGATTGCGATTGCGTACGTACAACGTTTTTAGATCACGGCAAGAGAAACACTCTGCAAAACAAAATTTTCATAAAAAATGTGTGTGTTTCTGGCTGAAAGTGCTGGCCAAATGGCCTGTTTCGTGCTAGATCCGGTTGTTTCACAGATTCATCTCACTTTCTGCCCACGATCTGCCGTTTTAGCAAGCCAAATTGACCAGCACAGGCAGCGACACAACAAAAACAACAGGTCTTGTCTTGCCAAATTGGGAGACAAGAATTTCACTGATCTCAATGGCAATTTTGACACTTTTAACTCTTTTGAAACATTGCTAGGGGTTTCCGTATTACCTATAACTAGCACTTTACACAGCTCAATTGCTTGATGCAATTAATTTCTCTTCATTTAATTAAAACGGGCTTCCGCAGAAACGGGCTTGTCGATAAAAATATACTTAACCCACTTAGCCCCCCTCTATTTCAACAGGTGAACACATAGAGTTAAACCGCGGAAAAAAATAATGTTTTGTAAATGCAGCTTGTAACTTACTCTTTACAATCAATAAAAGCACGAACTGCGCTATAATTGTTCCAGTTTTATAATAGTATTCGAGCGTATGTTTAAATGCCCACTGGTCGACAATGGGTTAATCGTTCTGTGTCCATGATAAGACATCATATTTCCCAATTCTGATATTTGGTTTAATATTTCTAGCAAGCTAGGACTCTCAGCCCTAAACATATAGTTTCATCCGATTGGTGAATCAATTTTCTAAATATTGGCTAGTTTTCAGGACTCCGTTTTATTGGAATATTTACAAAATAAGCTTAAAAAAACAACAGCCAATGCATAAAACGTAAGTGTGTACCGAATGTTCTTTAAGTAACCAATTACATTGAAATTTAATAGATTGTGGAAAGCGGCACCGAGTAAGAGCTAAATTTTATTTGGTATCAAAGCCTTTTTGGGAAAAATATCATTTGATTTCTGATTTTACGTGTATTATATATTAATGTTCTCACATATTGACACTCTAACAAATCCCAATTGTCGAGAAATAAGAACCGACCATTAAAATTAAAATTACAAAAAATTTCAATATCAAAAAATTGTTTAAGAATGGTGGTCCCACCTCACCTTTTTTTAATAGTACTAAACTATATTTTACGGCTAATAAATCCCACACTGGCATACTAAAAATAATACTGAAATTACCATTATTACCGATCCGGCAGCACGAACTGAATGATTTAAGCATCGATAGACAATGTCTTACACCTATCGATAGCTGATGTGAGCGGCAGTTTTTGAATTTTTATATTCCACAATGCTAAGTTGACTAGCTTTATCTTGGCACGAATTTGTGTGTATTTATGGCGCCAGGCCCAACAATGTTGATAACTTAATGATAAGCTACAGTTTCAGTTTCTTTGTTACTCTCTCTTATCAGTCCAGGCCGAGCAAGTGGTGTTCTTTTTAGAAATCGTTTCATAACGTGCCTTATCAGAATGAATATCTATGCATATATATATAATTTAAATTTGTTTATAAACAAGTTTTGTATGCTAATATGAACTGTACATGGGGACGGAGTCATATTAGTAGGAAACCCCTTGACATTGAAACTGATATGATAGATACATACATATGAACATACATATGTACATATGTACGTATGCCATACAAAAGTAGAACAAAATGTATTCGAAATTGCATGTACTTAAACAGTACTGGGAGTATGTGGTTTTTTTAATTGTTTAGAAATTTCTCTGAATTCATTTTAGATGTGTGTGCGCTTCAAACTTCCGCATGACGAGTGTGAGGGTCATATTTTCGTAACACCCCACTTCCGCAATGTGAGAAGAGATAAAAGTTTTCAGCTGCAGTTCAGTCTGGTCTGGTCTGCTTCATTTGTATCGCTTTATAAGGGGCTTTGTCCCGCCGTCGATCAATGGCATTCGCTCTTGTCTATCAATATATCTTTTGTCTCTTTCTTTATAATTATTATTAAGTTGTTTTTCTCTTTTAACACACAAACAAACAAAAGCGCCCTCGCCGCAAGGCCGCGCAATGTGGGAGAGAGAAAGAAGAACAACAGAACGACCTGAACCAGAATCCACTGGAATGGAATCCACTGTCACCACCGACCACATGCTTGTGGGGCCGCAGGGCAGGGTAGGGCTGGGCTCTGCGAGACAAACGGCACGTAGCAACAGCGACCGGGAAGAGTCTGTCAGGCGCTGTAATTAAATTACGTTTTATGTTGTTTACCAAAATTGTGTGTTTTTTGGCAAGTCAAGGCAGCAGCAGGCAGACGGTACCTAATATAACCTTTGGAATAGATTTTTGACCAGCATAAATCAAGCGGGAAATGCTTGTCGTCGGCTGGTATGAATGTGTACAGGCGGATGCAGATGCAGTTTTAGCTGCAGTGGGTGTCTAAAAATAAAGTCAATTATGCTGTGTTATTGCAGCTGGTCCCCAAAGCCGGCAAACCAGATGAACAACAACTCATTTTTGTAGCCGTGTGGTTGTATGTATCTGTGAGGTTTCAGTGGAGTCTGTTGTTACAAATGCAACCCACTGCACTGAAAGCTTACGAGTTGTGTTTGCAAGCACACTCATTCATTCATTTCGTTGTTAGAGCTTTGCATAAAAATTCCAACAATGTGGCCCCATTGCATAAAAACGCAATTATAGCGCTGACCGCGTCCGCATTGCATCTGGGTTTTTTAAACCTTATCTTTTCATTTTTGGTTTTTTATATTCGACTTATCGCTATTGCTTTTGTGGGCTTTCTTATCGAGCATTTTCGAAACAAAAAATCCACCTTACATGGTACGGTAGCTTTTTACCTGAACATTTGCCTCGACTCGGCCACTTTTTTGAACCGGCACGTGAATACAATTGAAAAATGCCGTTGCCTTCTCGGTGAACGGACGGTTGTACAGTAAAGCTCGACTAAGCCGACCACCCAATGGACATAGAAATATTCCTTCGAACTACGGAATTGAATAGACCTTGTTGAGACCTAGAGAGTTCCCACTGTAGTTCAATTAAAAGTGCGTGGGCGGCGAAAAAGAGAGAACGAGAGAGAGAGTGCAACAATCAATGCAAGTCCACGTCCGAGACAGTTAACCGGTCGGCTGGATGGCGTTGGGGGCGCCGTGGGCAGTCAATTTGGAGCGTTGGCGCTGGGTAATTCCCCCTCCCCTTTGGGTGAGCATGGTTTTGCCGTCTGGCAATGTCGTGTCTGCATTTGGTATGTACTCGTACATATGCAATGCGATTCCGCCGCCAATGGCAAATACATTTCAGTTGTTGGCAACGCGTCACTTGTTTGTGCGCCTGGCAACAGCAAAACAAAGACAAAGAAACCCAACGAAAATGTTCGACAATTAAAACGGAAAGCAAACACAAAATCTACATATGCACATGTATTTGTGTACTTGAGTGCACTACTAGCGACCTGTTGTCGGCGAGGTGCGATCGTAAAGTTTTGACACCTGCAAATCTCACATACAGTCACATTTACTACTTTCCCCAACTATTGCTCCTACCTGCGCTCACGTGAAGGATTGGTAACGCGTGCACAGCTGTCCATATGTTTGCACTCTGGGCAATGAATGTCATTAGCTTAGCTCTCAAAAAGCCAGAGAATCAGCAACAAAGCAAAACAGCAGATAACTTGCGGGTTCAGCTAGAACAACAAAATAGTCAAAAACACATGCACAACAAGTGTGGTGTAGTATTGTGTGTATGTATTTAGTTAAAAATAAAACTATTTAACCTTAGCGATGTCGTTGCCATAGTGACGTTGATTCGCCATGGAATGAAAATAGCAATCTGTGTACATAACCATAAGAATGCGCAACAGTATTTAGAGATTAGGTTAGAGATTCATATGCATTCGGGAGAAAGAGAGAGGGGGAGAAAAAGTGTGAGATCGGTCAGCTGCGAGAGCACTCATCGCATGCTAATTGATAACGGCAACAACAAACGTTGATTCTGGTTCTTCTTGTTATACCCTTTCAGAGGGTATTCCTCTTTATTATTATTTTTTGTTTGCCCTATAAAGTGTTTGTACATATCTGTGGTCATTCACTTTATAATTAACCAGCCATTCGAGCAATGGGTAAGGTAAGGGTGTCTCTACATTCGGCTTCCAAAACCGACTCCGATTCATGTTCTTCTTGTTATCGCTGCTGATTCTGTCAGTCAGGTGCAGCGGATTCCAGCTAAATCAACAACCTCCTCACACAACTCTCGACTCTGACGTATATTATACAATACTTAATTGAATGATAGAATAACAGATTAAGTAAATATGCAAAATGAAAACATTGATAACCGGTTAAAGGCAGTCACGATCTTAAAGGGGGGTTTGCCCAACCCCAAACCCAACCCTTTGGGTGCGGGGCGAGTTTATCAAATCACATGACTCGACCCCCTTCTCCGGAACGCTTTAAAGGTGTGATCCAATATAGAATGCCCTAGATGTTTACATGCTCATAGCCGAAAATGTTCTAGAATCTAGATACTCGTACTTCTGAAAATGATTCGAATTCCGTAGGTCGGCTGTTTAATACGGAGTTGGAAGCAATTGTGGCAATAATGTTGGATCTTTGATTTGTGTGTGTTTCGATTAACAATTGCTTTTATTCTTTGTTTTATATTTTATATATGTATTTATGTATAAATTTCTTATTCTCTTATTAATCATACTGATTAATCTAATGCGTAAGTATAGTACTTGAATTTCGATTCACATGTGTAGGCAAATTTTGAGCAGTTTGGAAACCAATAAATAAATAACAGTTCAAAGACAAATGAATTCAAATACAAAACACTAATTGATTTACAAAGTACAAATGATGATAGCTACAATTTAGATTTCTTTATGCTTAAAGTCTTGCGGTAACATTTTTGCCGATTGCATATTACATTATCAAGCATTTGCACAGAGACATTCCAAACAGAAGGCCTCAACACCACACACCATATCTGTGTCAAGCAGGGTATACTATACTACTACTCAACCTTTTGGATGGTATCTATGCGTGTGCACGGATAGCTTTTTATAGCTTTCCCATTAACTGCGCTCTTATCTAGAGTTATTTATATATATACACATGGATGATTATTTCACTTACAAGCAGGCAGAAGGCACTTGAACAAAGAAACAAACAAACAAACAAACAAGCGACGTGTACGCCCAAGTTATTACCCTATATGTATACATGTAGTATGTACCTATACCATATGCCAGTGCCAGTGCCACTGCCAGTGCCGGTGCATCTGTATATGTTGTGGCTGTGGTCTAAACTTTGAAACGTGACAAGAGCTCTCCTCACATTTGATGCGCTGCTGTGGCAATCGCCTGCCTGCACTCGCCAATCGCCATCTTTATGTACAACTTATGCGGAACTATAGCCTACAGAGCCTACATTCATAGTATTTACACAGCATATTATCGTAGCAGCCTATCAATTTAACTAAACACAATGGCATACACATAAATAGAGTCTAACTAATGACGCAACTAAGCATAGGTCAACTTATTAATCTTCCCTCGCAGGCGGCACCACTCAGACTTGACACTCAGTTGCTCATTTGCAGTCCTCCGCTACTGCGGCTGCCCGACGATGAGGAGCCCGTCAGTCCGAACTGTGAGACGAGCTTATCGTAATCCTCTAGCGATGTCTCGAACTGCTCCAGTTGCCGCGACAGATCATCCAAGGCACTGGCATCGGCTGCACTGGTGGCCACCGCTGCGGCGGCTGCAGTGGGCCCACAGGCGGCCACCGAGCTGCTCGATGTGGGCGTTGTGGAGCTGGACGAGCTGGAGATTTCCGCCTGCAGCTCGTTGAGGCCTCGCAGGGGCGGGGCGTGATAGCACTCACGATAGAATTTGGCCAAATCGTTGACATGCGATGTGGGCGAGGCGAAGGGAAAGTGCAGCTCCTTTAGCAGATTGTCATCGTCTGGGGGCGGCTCTAGCGTTGGCTCCGAATGGTGGCGATAGGCGGTGGCGGGTATTAGCAGGCTTTTGATGGGTGAACATGAGGTGGCGGCTTCCCCATTTGTGGCCTGCTGCTTTTCGAAGCTCTTGAAGCCCGTCGAGTTGTTGTTGAGATTGTGGCTGTGGTTGAAATTATTTGCCGTATGGTTGTTGTTGTTGTTATTGTTGTGCATGTTGTTGCTAACGACACTGGCCACATTGTCGAGCCGGTTCAGCGACTCCATGGAGCAGCCGCTGCCAGCGCTCTCGTGTCGCTGTCGTCCCCGCAGCAGCCACTCGAACGGTGGCGTCTCCGGCAGCACAAAGTCATCCTCGGTGTACTGCCGCAGCTTGCCCATATCCGTGAAGGCGCCCGGACGCAGCGGCTTCTCTATGTCAATGCATCGCCTCTCCCCAGATCCCAAAGCTGCGTTCAGGCCGCCCAATCCCAGCTTCTTCGCGACAGCCGTGGCGTGAGTCTGGGTCTGCTGGGTGCTGGGGGAGCTGGCATCGGTGGCTGGCCGAAAATGATCCGACTTGAGCATAATGATGTTGTTTTCTGTCTGGTGGGCCTGGGCCGTCGTCGGGGATATGGTCATCTTCGTGCGGTACGCCACAGACATGACCAGAGAGCCCACAATCGTGTGCAACTGTCCAATCTTCACATTCTTGTGGCCCTCGCCGAGCGTATGAACCTGCGGGCGATCCACATAGATGCGATAGAAGATGCCGTACGAGTCCGGGCACTGACGACGCGACAGCTTGTAGGCGGGCGTTGTCCGGGTGAGGGAGATGAGGGACTTTAACATTATGCCCATGCGGCTGTAGATGGCGTGGGAGGCCTTCAACGTCTGGCTCTCGCCATTTATGCCATTCATGTCCGCCTTGGAGTCGTCGCGGGCATTTATCGCGCCCCCATTCGTGGTGGTGCCATTCGCGGTTGGTTGCAGCAGATCCAGGGACCACACTTCCAGCACCATCTGGTCGCCCTCCGTTGTCTTTAGCGATATCTCCACGCACAGGGGCAGACGCTGCAGAATGCTCTCGCCAGGCTTCAGGGCCAACGCCCGCTTCGTCTCCTCCATAACTTCGGGATGGTCCTGCACCACAATATTGAACCAGTCATTGCCCGCCAGCGGATTGCATTGCGTTTGGATCTTCTCGCCCAGACGCGACTGCACCACAACCTGGGTGGACTTCAGAGCAAGAAATTTGATGAACTTCTCTAGGTCTTTTTCCGCGGCATTCAAACGCTGTGCAGCAGACATTTTGCGTTATTTTTTTCTTCTTTGTTTCGGTCTCGTTTTTCGGATTTTTCGTGGTTTTAGTGTGTGTATTTTCAGTCTGTTCTCACTTGCACTCGGACATGGGCTCGCGCACTGCAACAGCGTACAAAGTTCGCCGTTGGCTCGTTTTGTGTTTCTTTTCTATTTTTCACGCTTCCGCGTATTGTCTGCGTTTTCATGAGAATTGAGTTTTGTGGAATTTTTCCGTTTTTGTCGCGCACATTGCGTGTTCTAAGTAATGCACCGCATTATTAACACTTGCTCGGGCATTCTGCCAAAACACTATAATTTGTGCAACGCCTTTCAATAATGTTGTAAAATTCAGTGCGTTTGTTTAGACGCAAAACAAAGATCACTCCCACTTTTTTTCATTACCGTCCGCCATTAAACTGCGACTAGCGATGTGCAAATGTTGATATATTAATATATCGAAATATATTTTTGGCTGATAATATATTTGAGGGTAATATTTTTTCCAAACTGGAGAAAATATTAATATTTTGTGATATATATATTATCAACGGCACTACTTTTGCGAGTCCAGGGCAAACCTACACCATTTTGCTGTTGTTTTACGACGTAAAATCAGAAATACACCCGACTGAATCTATCTATCGATGTAAAATCATATCGGTACTTTTGTGCGATGGGCGAAACCTATCGGCGTTTTATTTTGAAAATAGGGAATAAGGGCGTTAATATTTGTGCTTTGAGGGTTATTTATTGATTTTAAAATAATTTATTCAATTATAAAGAGCAAATCCATGATATCTATTATTTTTAGCCTGAAAAGTGCCTCATGTGATACTAAATTTTGTCCCTGCCAACAGAATGTCAGTAGACAGCACACGGCCTAAAAGGTACACGTCATACGTCACGTACGCAGTGGGCGGGCGGGTGGTTACATTTAAAATTCGATATATCAGATAAATTATGCGTCGTATAAATAACACTGCCCCTGTAGGATAACAATTTGGATTTGGGCCAAAATGGTGAACCAATCGCCATCTAGCAGTCTCCATTTCCCAGGCGTCGGTGCTGCTGCTCCTTCGATAGGCCAAAATATTCATGCTCTGCCTTGGACAAGACATTTTTGGGCAGATAGGGAAGAATCGTTTTCGGCACGGCGGACAGCATACGGAGACGCTCGCTCCCCTCAAAGGCCTGCCGTTCGTCATCCGACTTCTTTTTCATTATGAAGTATTGGAGATGTTCGGCCGTGGCCTCGGCTCTCCTCACATGGTTGTCCTCAATCATCGAGAGGAGCATGGCACCGTGCGCCCTTCGCTTTCGGTACGCTTCCAGCTGTTCCTCTCTTTCCGTCTCCTCACTATTGCTAGCAAGTTCTTGTTTCCGGGCGGATAGTTCGTCTCGCTTCCTCTGCAGTTCGTCCATTTTCCGTTTCTGTATTTCCCAGTGGTACAAATTCATTTCTTGTTTCGTACGATCTCGCGATATGGTCTTCTCCTGTACATCTTGACGAAAACGCAGGTCCGCCTTGGCCTTATACTCGGCTTCCAGTAGATCCAATAGCTGGTAGTCTCTGATTCGTTTTGAGTTCTACGAAAAGGAATTAAATGAATCTTAATGTGCGGGTCAAGCTGAAGCGTGTACTCGGGACACTCACCTCCACTTGGAAGAGCTCCTGGCCAATGCGTGTGCTAATCTCCTCCTGCTTGCGCATCAGGTGCAGTCTCTCCTCTTCGAGTTTGCTCTTCCTATCCTCAACTTCGGACTGCGTCTGGAGCAGATTTTGCAATTCATCCCTGGCCCGGACCTTTTCCATATTTTTGTATTCCTTTTTTTCTTGCATATACTGGAGAGTGTTCTGGCGATCCAGGGCTTTCTGACGATTCCTCTCCTCTTGCTCGACTCTGTCCTCCTCCTCGATTTGCTTCTGCCTGGCATTGTTGAGCTCCCGCTGGTAAAATTTCTCTGCCGCCTCCTGCTGACGGCGTAGTCGGTTCTCTTCGATTTGGCGAGCTAGTGACTCACGAAGCTTTCGCTGCTCCTCCTTCTGGGCCAATATTTTGTCGTCCTCCTGGGCCAGCTCCATCAGCTCCAAGACGGTTCTCTCCTGGCCTAAGGCTTTGGCTCTCACTGCTAGATTGCGGGCCTGGCACTGCTGCGACATGCGCTCTGACAGGTCTTTGGCAATCGCAGCCGATCGCAGCTGCTCCTCCAGCAAGCGCAATCCCTCGCAGTCGTTGCGGAGCTGCTGGCGCCTCTTCTTATCCAAAAACTCGGCCCGCTTGATTTCCATTAGCTCCTGCGATATGGCTGCCTTTTCGTGGTTATCGCGGTGCATCGGATTTTCCTTGGACAGCTCGACGCTCCTTTGCAATGTCCCCAGATCGGACATTAAATTGCGCGAATAGAGTCTGCTCCAAAAGTCGTGACCCTGCGTTACCTCGCTAGGAACAACATATTTTGGTTTTCCGCATATGAAAATGGCTGGCAACGCATCTTTAGCCCAAGACCGTTTTTGGTCACCTGTGCCGGTCGTCATGGTTGACGGTAACAATAATAACAAACACAACAAAGAGAAACAATAATCAATTCTAAATACAAAATATAAATGAAGTCGTAAATAAATCAAATGCTATCAACGATCGCTTACTCAGATGTTGATCGGATAATAGTCCTAGGATCAGGCAGATAAGGATTCCCACGCCACGCTTAATTCTTTATTTTCTTAAATAATATTGATGCGTGATCCTTGCGTACGCATCGGGGTGAATGCCAGGTTTCGATCAAACCTTATCGATATAACATTTCGAAATAAATCCTGGGATGGGACCCATCAAATTTCGTACAATGAAGACACCCACGTTTTCAAGTCATCAAATAACTTAAAATTTAATTGGTTTCTTCCAAAGAATCAAAGTTGATGAATTTCTAATATTAACGATCGATCGAAATGATAAATTTCCTATGCTGAAAATGCAGTTGGAAAGTATTGTTTGTCCTGCTCAACAATTTGGTCCAACAGATCGTCAACGTCCGTGGTGGGGTAACGCTCGACCCAGGACTGAATGTAGCCCTCGTGGCTGGCCTCGTACGTCTTCAGCGCCACCTTCTTGTCCTTGAGCTCCGTGTTGGCCTGGACGAGGATCATGCGCGGCTTCTTGTGGGCCAGACAGATGTCACGCCACTGGGCCCATGGATGCGAACCACTGTCGTTCACCTCCGAGTAGTGTTCGTACATTTTCGTGGCCGCTTCGATGTCGGCCGTGGACTTGTACACCTGCAGTTTGGTGAGGAAATCGCCCAGGGCCTTCTTGCCGACGGTTTCGATCTTGCTGCGGTCCAGCGTGAGCAAGAGATCCTTGCCCTTTTCCGTCTCTTCGACGGTGACCAGACCCTCGCCAGCCTCCAGCAGGACTTTCATTATGACAAAACGGGCACGAGAATGGGCCTGCAGCCACTGCTTCGACTTGGGATTGTACATTTCCAGTGCCACACCCATGCCATTCCAGATGAGACTCAGCCAGTTGACGTAGATGATGTTGTCCTGCTCGACGGCATCCTTGAAGCCGAATATCTCCAAGATGTCCCGCTGAAGGGAGAGATAGAGGCCCACAGCCTCCGCACGACACTCCTCGTACGAGGAACCGATGGCACTGAACTTCGTGTCGTATGTTTCACCCGGCAGATACCACTTGGCGATGGCTTCGCCCGTGATGAGGTTCTTGGTGTTCTCCTTGTCGAAGTTGTAGGCACCGCTCTCATCGATGCGGAACAGCTTGCCACTGCCATGGCCCAGCAGCTCGTGGAGGCCCACTTGCACTTCAAATGCCTTCACTTTATACTCCTTCATCAGCGTTTGATCGTCCTCGGTGAGGAACGGAATGGGGTCTTTGCGATTGATGTTGGCCAGCACATTGCCCAAGGAGACATTCTTGAATCCCTCATCTTGGCGTATTTCGTCATCTATTGAGGAAGGGCAGGTATGATTATCAGTTTTTAGTGGTTTGGAGGGATTGGATGTATGCTACGAAATCCTTACAGTTTGGTATGTTGATGCCAGCGGGCACTCCGCTGCCAGCAAAGGTGAGAACATCTAGCGAGGTAAAGTCGGGCTTCAGATACGAGTCCTTCTCGTATGGCTCCGTCCAGGGCAGATACTCCAACAGCTGCTCGGCACGATCGACCAGCTCGGTGAACTTTGCCGAGCTCTCCTTATTGACCATGGCGACGAAACCCTCGAATTCGGCACGACCACCGGCCGGGTCCCTGTACGTCTCAATGAAGCCAATGTAGGTCTCAATGACGGGTCCCTTGTCCTTGATCCACCACCTGGAACCATCCTTATGCTCATCCAGAGAGCCCTCTTCAAAAGATTTGACGTAGTGCTCGATCATCTTTGCCTCATTCTCGTTGGCCGCGTACTTCTGGGCCTCCAGCAGATTCTGGTTAACACGCTGCAACAGCTTGCGGTAGTCGCCGCGTGTGACACGGAAATTATTGCCCTTGTACTCCTCGAGCGGCAGCGTAATGCCATCCTTAATGGAGTCGGCCACCGACCCAAGCTTGATGTCGTATATGGTCTTGCCGTTCTCCTCGATCTTGAACGTGCGGCACATGTACGGCTCGATGCGCTTCGATGTCAGCCAGGAGTTGACTATTTCCGAGTCCTCCTTGGTGCAGTTGTCCGACCAGTAGGTGGTTATACCATTCGGTGCGAAGCCCAGGATTTCATTACGCGATTCCAGTGCATAAATCAGATCCTTGACCTTCTCGTAGATCTTGGCCACACGCTGATTGGCCTCATAGGCACCCGAGGCGCGCACGATTGACCCGAACTTCTCTGGGGACAGATTCGGCAAGATCTTGCTATCGCCCATGCCCTTGTAGTTGCCGGCATTGGCGAACACGCCGCAAGCGTAGACCACGAAGCCCTAAAGTTGCGGAATATATGTAGAATTTTGAGTCTTATTTCGTTGGGCTCTTGCTCCGTTTTACTTACTGTAAACTCATCCTCAGTGACGCCAGCTGCCAAGGCCTTGGCCTTCAGTTGTTCCGGCTTCTCGGCCACAAAGATGCGATGCAGCAGGGAGAAGATCAATGGCGCCTCGGGACTGGATTGGATGAGAGCAATGAGTCCGCCATCCCACGACGCCTTGCTAAAGTAATGGGCATAGAGCTTCTCCTTGTCGGTCAGATTCTCAAAGGCATTCTTGCACTCCAAATCGGCAATAGGCTGCGTATTTGGCAGCACAAAGTGCGACGTTTTGCTTGGCATCTCAGCGGTTTGTGGAATATTTGCACTCGAACTGTAAAGATAGCAAAAACCACAACCACATTTATCTACATCTGATAATACATCTTTAAACCCGGAGGAATACCTGTGGCGAATCAACTGTGTCGCGAGTCTAACAATGTTTCTGGGGGCACCGGCACCTCTGGTTTTGGCTGTGGCTCTAAGCGAACAGGGCGTGACGATGCTGGGGGCGTTCAGCGTAAGGCTGAGACTGCTGCTGGCCCGGATACGTATGTGGCAAAGCCTGTTCAGTTGTTGACGGGACCTCTGAATTCTTTGCAACAAGAACATGACTTTGAATTTCAGAACTTTATGCAAATTTAGAAAATTCGGTCGAGCGGGCGGAGTGGGCAGAACCTATGTACGTGTGTACAGGACGTGGCATGTGTTTGGCTTACTGCTGTAAAAATGTAAAATGCTACTTTAATTTCGAAATTAAGCCAAATACAAAGAACATGAAAACTTGATGATTGTGCACTTTTCTCAGGGCTCTGCTTTAGCGGGTGTCCCACACTTCTGCAGATGTGGCATTCATGCGGGGACCTGATACACATGAATATATTAAAAGTATTCACGTAAATCTATAGCGGAAATTTCCACAAATTGAGCCCGAAAACCTGTGGAGCAAATGGGGGGCTCCAGCAGGCAAAATGAGAATAGGTAGGATGCAATGGAGGCCATTCTATGCCGAAACTACGTGGTTAGTCATTTCTGAGGCTCTCGGCCAACAAAAGGGAACAAAAAACAAACAAAATACATTAAACAGCGTGCGTACTAACCTTTGAATTGTAAAAAAATTGCAAAATTGCAATAAAATTATTTAAATTAAATAATGCCGACAGCAGTGTGACCATATTCCAGTATGACCCTCATAAATATACCGAAATATACTGACGGACACGACAAAGTGAGTTGATATTAATCGATTTTGATATTCGGTTTAATATTACTAGCTAGCTAGGCCTTTCAGCCCTAAAGATATAATTTTATCCAATTCATGAATCAATTTTTTACAAGATTTGTTGATTTAAAAGACTCATTTTTATTGGATTGTTTACAAAATAGGGATTTCCCTAGCTGATATTAAACCTACGTATATCGATAGTCTCCAGCTCCTACAGTCGATAGGATCGGTATCGCAATCGATGGTTTTTCCATTTGACAGTTTGACAACACTGATTGGAATTGGATAAAGTTATTTGTTTAAGGCTGAGAGGGCCAACTAGCTAGTAATATTATACATATCAAAATCGAGGAATATCAACAACGTCTTGTCGTGTCCGTCAGTATATTTACGGTCTATTTTGATAATGGACGGTATATTTCTGTGGGTTGATAATCTTGTGGGTCTGTCTGTCCTTCGGAAACTAGAGCTGTCAAACGATTGATAGTTGAGCCATCGACAGTTTTGAATGTTTAAAAAAAACCATCGATACTATCGTAATAGTATCGGGCTCAAATAATTGTTAAAAAACCATTGAAACCTTTTAGGAACTTGTCCATTGTAAAAATTAGATGCCACCTGTCGATTTGTTTACAAATTTGTCTTTGTATTTTAGAGCCGCCAATCCAAACATATCAAAAGCGCAACGTCTGTAGCTCGATACTATCATGATAGTCGCAAAACCGTCGATAGTAGCGGATAGCAGCAAAACATCGATACTATCGATAGTGCTCTTGTACGTACTACGTGTAATTATCGGTTGTAAAAATAAAAATAAAAATACACTACTAAGGCACAACCACTCACAATTCCAGAATAAAAAAAATTAGATGGCAAAGCAGCCCAGTTCGTTCGGCTAACAAACCTAACTAAATTCCAGCGTCAAATAGAGAGACGGCGAACTTTTCAATAGTGCCGTGCCTGTGACCGAGTCGAGTCGGGTTTCTGTGACCAGCCTGAAACACAGTCAGCCAGCCCATCGCAAGAGCAGAGCAAAGCTGCTCCATATATATAGAATAGGGAAATAACACAAAAACAACACCGAACAGCAATATTGAACGGCAGCCAAAATTAATATCTTCCTCGAAACAATCAGCCAGCTGGCTGCCTTTGCGACCAACAGCAAGAACATGCAGCTGCTAATATCATCGGTCTGCATGGCGCTGACCAGCGCCGTAATTGGCAATGCATATTTCCAGAAGCAGCAGTTCTATCCCGCTGTCGTCTACATCACCAAATCCAATGCATCCATGGCAGTGAGTAGAGCCCTGTCCCATAGCTGCCAGTGCACCGATTCTTAAAAGCCTCTTCATTCATTTCAGGTGATTTACATCCAGTTCTTTGTGATTGTTTTTATGTTTGGTAAACTGCTGCGCAAGGTGGGTGCGGTGCTGTAATGGGGGCGTGAACAACTATCAGTGATACTAAAATTCAAGAATTTAATTTGCAGATTTTCCTGGGAACGTTGCGTGCGGCCGAGTTTGAGCATTTGCTGGAGCGTTTCTGGTATGCACTCACCGAGACCTGTTTGGCATTCACCGTGTTCCGAGATGACTTCAATCCGCGTTTTGTGGCCCTCTTTACGGTGCTACTGTTTCTCAAATCATTCCATTGGCTGGCCGAGGAGCGCGTGGACTATGTAAGCTAAAACTCTAGATAGATGATAGTCCTCTAATTTCGTTTCTCTTTCAGATGGAACGCTCCCCAGTACTCGGCTGGCTGTTTCACATACGCGTCGGCAGCCTGTTGACCATGCTTGGTATCCTCGACTATGTGCTGCTGATACACGCCTACAATTCAACGTTGGTGCGAGGACCTACAGTGCAGCTGGTCTTTGGCTTCGAGTATGCAATCCTGCTGACGGTCATCGCCAGCACGGCCATTAAATATGTGCTGCATGCGGCGGAGATGCGCACGGACACGCCCTGGGAAAACAAGGCAGTGTTCCTACTGTACACGGAACTGGTGATTGGCCTGATCAAAGTTGTGCTCTATCTGCTGTTCGTGGTTATCATGGCCAAGATCTATGCCCTGCCGATGTTCGTGTTTCGGCCAATGTTCTTTACCATACGCAATTTCCGCAAGGCTCTCAACGATGTGATCATGTCCCGCCGGGCCATACGCAACATGAACACCCTGTATCCGGATGCAACGCCCGAGGAGCTGCGCCTGTCCGACAACATTTGCATCATCTGTCGCGAGGATATGGTCAATCACTCCAAGAAGCTGCCCTGTGGCCACATCTTCCACACCACCTGCCTGCGCTCGTGGTTCCAGCGCCAGCAGACCTGTCCCACATGTCGTCTCAACATTTTGCGCACACCGGCCGTCAACTCTGTGGCCATGCCCCGAGCAGCTGACGATGCTGCTGCAGCTGCTGCTGCTGCTGGTGGTGCAGCTGGGGCTAATGCTGCCGCAGGAGCTGGCGGCGCACAGCCGGCAGGAACCGAAGATCCCAATGCTGTTGCAGCTGCTGTCGCTGCAGCTGCGGCCGCTGGCCTGGACCTCGATGGGAATCTGGGACGAGCCAGGCGGCCAGGTGGCGGCAATGGGCCTGCCAGTTTCTCGGAACTCTTCGCCGAAGCCAGTGAGTTTTTGAGTTTCGCTCGCCCTCCCGTCTCGTTAGATTCGCTACAAAAAACGTTTCCCTTAGATCGCTTGCCGAATGGATTGCCCAACCTTGGCATACCTCGACCGCCGATTCCACCCATGCCCATGCTATCGCCATTTATGATGCCGCCGCACTTTGCCTACTTCACTCCACCACCCCTGCCACCGCCGCCCATGCCCCAGGACCTATCCAGACTCAGCGACGATGAGCTGCGCGCCATGGAGGGAGACCAGCGCAAGCATATCGAGCAGCGTCTCAAGGTAAGTTCTCCCTGAATGTTTTCCTTTATGTTCCATTGGGATTAACGCACTCTTGTTGCTATTTAGTTGCTAGGAAACATACATCTAATGCTGGACTCGGTGGGGATCATGATGAACCAGTACCAGGCATTGACGGCACGCTTGCAGCTAGCTGCGGGGCCCTCAACATCCACCCCAACTGCACCTCCAGCGACAGGTGATGCAACGGAAAGTCCTGCTGGTACAGCTGCTTCAGCTGCAGATGCACCTGAGTCTGCATCGTCGTCAGTGTATGACATGCCCAGTACCTCGGCGGCAGCTAGGAACCAGCAGGAAGACGCTCGCCAGCTAAAGACTGCTGCTGGACTGGGATCCGGAGTGGCCGTAGTCGCAGCTGGCAATGGGGCAGAGAGAGTGACTATTGAGGATCTGGGCGCTGACGAGGATGATGTACCCTCCACGGCCACAAAGACCCTCAGCCTGGGCAATGCCGAGGCAGAGGTCGATGAGAACTCCTCCAAATTGAATGAGTTGCGAGAGCGGCGCTTGAAGTTCTTGCAGGAAACTAACAAATCGGCAAACGGCAGCGAAAAGACGACAACTGATTAGAGAGATTCCCAGGGGAACTGAACTCAAAACGAACAGCAGCAGCAACGGCAGCAAGCGGCAGGCAACAGCAGCAGCAGCAGCGAAAACATGCAGATCAGATCACAGCACCTCCAGTCTGCCCCCAATGCCATCCACCAAAACGAAACATATTTTATATATTCAATCGGATGGGATATACATATATCGATTTTGTTATTTCGTACGCTCTGCCCCCTTTTCTGTGTGCTCTTCTTCCTTGGAACCTCTTGTTTCGACTCTGTTATTTTGTATGGCTTGCGATTTGGAAATATAAATATAATGACTACGACGACTATGATGCCCACACCCCCCTCCAAACACACACACCCTACCCCTCTACCCGTATCCCCACGCAGGCACATGTGGAACGAGAAGGATGGATGGATTGAGATCTTATTGTAGCGCTGTGCAGCGTCCAAAATTCAATATGTAGCAATACTATATATTGTGTAAAAACTATTTTAGAGATGGGAAAACTGATGATTTGTATTTAATATTACTATATGTGTATAATTAATGTGAAATATAATTAAAAACGAAACGTGAATTGAGGATGGGCGTTACGATTACCGATAAATATATATCTACTATATATATATAGAAAACTACTACTATTATTTAGGTACAAACTAAGTGAAAAAAATAAATTAAATGACACGCACACGCACGACACTGGCACGACACACTACACATAGATAACAACAGTCGACCGTCTGGCTCCGCGGGTATGAAAGATCTGCATTTGCACATTGCCGCATCAAATTCTCGACTCCAGCTCCCGGAACTCGCCAGGATCGGTGAACCGCACGGTCAGTATGTAGAACATCGTTGGAAATGGCACAAGACACAGGAAGGCATAGTGATAGTTGAGCGAGGATATTCCATAGGCCAACAAAAGCCAATGAACAGCTGCAAGTACAAATTATATGGAATATTTAAATAGTTTTAGTTCGAGTGTATCGCTACGATTGGCTTACATA